GGTAGCGCGGGAGGGGAACACGCGAGAGAAAACTGATCGCGTCGCTTTAGCCACGAGCAAACCCGGTATATATTCGCGAAAAATTTTACATCTTTCTCCTTGACTTTGTTTTTCTGCTCTTGCCTTAACGGAAACACAAAAAAAAAAAATAAAAAAAAAAAAAAAAACGATACTCGAAGAGTAAAAGCGGGGGAGAACAAAAAAAAAATAAAGGGACACACAGCCACCAATGCCCCGATCCTTTGTGATCGAACGAGAACGAGAGAGAACGAGAGAGAACGAAAGAGAGAGAGAGAGAGAGAGACACGCAATCGAAGATACGACGCGTTCGATCGAGAGGAATTGAATCTTCGATGGCGCGCCGGATATATACAACACGTACACACACACCACATACACGTGCAGAAACACTTGAAAAAAAAAAAAAAAACTACGACTTTAAATCCGATGTTAGCGTAGCGTACGTACCGTAAGCTGTCGACATTTATACTATGAACTATGAGTAAATTGTAGCGATTATTGTGAACATAGTTAATAGTATAGATTAGTTAACGCACTAATTGTACCGACAAATGGAGTACATTTAATTACGAAAAAAAAAGAAGAAAAAAAAAAATGAATAATCGTCGAGGGGTCTCGTTACGTTTGCGCGTGCGAACGCGAACGAAACGTTATTACAGTATGAAGATGCCCGCGTTGAGTTCGTTGTTACGTGAAAACCCGACCGGCGAAGATTCACGAACATTCGCGAACGAATGGAGACAATTAAACGGTAATTGCCTGGGTGCAATTCGATCGAACCGCGCGTTTCTCCGAAATTCGTGGCCCGTCGGCAAAGCAGATCGCACGCGATTTTGCCGACAGAGTCGACCGGGATCGAACGACTTTACCGACGATCCGCGCGACGTCGCCGACAGAGTCGATAAAATCCGTGACGCTTTTACCGACGAAGTCGACGAGACCCGCGCGATTTTACCGACGCTGTCGAGAGAAGACTAATCTCGAGACTTTTCCTCTCTTCTTCTCTACCTGTTTCCAGGCGTAGGAATTCGTTACTTTTTGCACGTTTCCGATTGCCGTTTGGCGCGCGTAATTTGTTTGAAAACTTCCACGAAAGTGTATCGAAGCTCCACCGCCGCTTCCACGGAGGGACGGGGTGTAATTAATTGGCCAATTAAATCACGTGCGCGTGCACGTGCCTGTCGCGGCTGAATATATCGGAATACGTCGTCGTTCGCCGTTCGCAATTCAAATCGTCGAGGAAATCGTCGTTGCACGGCACCCGATTGCTCTTGCATCGCGAAGCGTGTGCACTTACGGACTTAGAAACGCGGCCAGGTCGGTTGGTCATTAATTAATTAGGTTATCGATCCGATCGCGTTACCTCGAACCGATTCGAGAACCTCGCCCGTTCCTAGAGGCTGCACGTGACCTTAAACACGGCGTGCGTGCACGCGAACACGTGCTGCGACGCGTCCAAAGACGCTCCCCATCGTGCACACATTTTTGTTTCCCCTCCTTCGTCGAATCCATTTCCATTCACGGATAGAAGGCGAACGGCTCGAAGTCCACGGGTTTCTTTGCGATCGCCATATTGAACAACAACTGGAAAATTCTAGGTATTATTTGTTCCCTGGATCACGACTTTCTCATACAGTCATTTATTATTCGAATTAATCGCGAATCGAGCAGCGTTGCTGAAACGATCTTGGCAATGGATGCCAATAAATGGCCACGCAAGTATGTTCCAACGTTTATTTGACGGTGATGGGAGGGGCAGGGAGGGGGGCAAAAAAAAAACCGAACGAATAAAGAAGACTTTTGCCAATACGTTCAAAAAAGGATCGTATTCGAAGGCAGCGGTTTGTCGGAGTTCGAATTGGATGGGATTCACCGGAAAATTAATGCTCGGGCTCGCGAACAGCCGACTTCGAGACCTACTCCTACTCCCCCTCCCCCTCCCCGTGCCCGATATCGTTTTTATCTGTAATCGAGCCGTTCCCTTCGTTGCCTAGATCCAAACCGTTTCTATTCCATTCTCCTTTCTTCCCTGCCTTTCTTCCCATCCAAGAGTTTCTCCGTTTCCCTCCTGGAGGCCCAATCCTCGTTAGCCGACTTAATTCTCCAAGCACGACGTACCGTGCATCAATCTACAATCCATCGTTACCTCTCTGCGACTCCAAAAATCATTGAAATTTGTAACAGCGCAAGCTCCTCTATTATGAAATAACCTTCAAATTTTCGTTGTTTGTTAAGTTACATCGCCTGATGACCGGTGCAGTGGTTTCTCATCCTTTCCGTGACTCTGAAAACCACTGAAATTTTAATAACAAGCCTTGTAGTGTCGCTTTAGGTCAAAGCTAAGTTTAAATGTTGCTTTAGTCGTACCTGAGAGGTTAGTAACATCACAAGCTCCTCTATTATCAAATAACCTTCAAATTTTCGTTGTTCATTGAATTACATCGCCTGAAGACCGGTGCAGTGGTTTCTCATCCTTTCTGTGACTCTAAAAACCACTGAAATTTTAATAACAAGCCTTGTAGTGTCGCTCTAGTCGTACCTGAGAGGTTAGTAACATCGCAAGCTCCTCTATTATAAAATAACCTACAAATTTTCGTTGTTCGTTAAATTATATCGCCTGAAGACCGGTACAGCGGTTTCTCATCTTTTCTGTGACTCTAAAAACCACTGAAATTTTAATAACAAGCTTCATAGTGTCGCTCTAGATCGAAAAGTCGTACTTGAGAGGTTAGTAACAGGGATTAAACTCGTTGTAACTTTGCGCCGTTGTCTTTAATATTTCGTTCCAACTAAAATCGACCAGGTCGTAAATCCGTACCTCGGTGGCAGGCAAATCGTGGAGCTTCGAAATCGCGTTTCTCTTCGAACGTTGGTCCCCTGGAAAACGGGGAAATCCCCGGCAGTTCGCGAATTTACGAACGACACGATAATCCTGACGCTTTGTGGCAGCCCTGGCGATTCACGGTGTCGGATATAGCGATCGAAATTTCGGCGGGAAAATCGTATTTTAAAAGAGGCTACCACGCTCCGCCGTTGCACTTTCCCCGAACGTTTATTCTTTCGATTCCTGAACATTTCCGAACGATCGACGAGTTCGCGTTGGTTCGCAAAAAGAAATAAGAAAAATTGCTCCGCCACGTGATTTCGGAGAACCCGTGGAACTTCGGTTCTACTTGCGTCGCGAGAGGAACGCACCACGAGAGAACACAAAAGCGTTTGTAACAAAAAAAGAAATAAAAAAAAAAAAAAAAACCATATACATACACACACACGAGAACGCGAGAGAAGGAAATAATAAATAAATAAATCTGTAATTTAAGATGCGAGCGCGCGAACGAATGGGAGTATAATAAAACCGAATAAAGACAAAAAATATTACGATCGAATGCGAGAGACCGAGGCGAGATTGCATGCGTTGTATGCGTGTGGGTGTGCGTGCGAGCACGAGAGCGCGAAAGGTAGCTTGCAAAAAAAGGAGAAACATTAGAGTTCCGTCTTTGAGTGTTGGAGAATGTTCATTTGTAATTGTTTAAATCTAACGAGAAATGTACTGTAAAACTATAAGTACTATAGGCACTAAAAATATATCATTTGTTGACATGAAAAAATAAAAAAAACCCGAGTGACGTAATGCATTGTCCGCTGCGTGGCGCGAGCGTCGCCACCTATGGACGGATATCGTAATTAATTCTTTCGGCCCCCCCCCCACCCCCCCTCGTCTGGCGACAGGTGTTTCGCAAATTTCAGTCGCTCCCCAATAGGATCTTTTTAGGAAATTATACGCAAAGTAGTCGTATTTAACAAACTTTATAGACGTAGAACCAACGAAACGTCAGTGAATTTATAACCAGCAGTAGCCATCGCGTGAAATTTCAAGAAACGTCGGTCCTGTTATTGATCCACGTATTACAGTAGTTATGCAAGGATTAAGTAAACGTAACGTGTGTCTTATTTTCTTACAAAGATTCGCGAACCACCCGAGAGTTTGAGAAACACTGACCCACGGTAACGGAGACAGCGGGGGAAGGAAAAAAATTACTAGCGACGCACAAAATGCCCTTTGACCCGCGACACGTGCCTTTTTGCAAGCTCGAGATCAAACAGGTAAGGTACAGCTTTCTAGGCGGATTCGAGAGCCGAGAGGTCGACCTCTTTTGTGGAGGTTAAGTGAATAACGTGTCCTGATGGGACGTCGGATCGTGGGTGAACCAGATGTCTCGGGAGGCCGTTAAAAATAATCGTCAGACGGTTTCACATGAAAAATCTATTTATGACGCGCGTGTCTTATGTACAGCGATAAGAATATAAAGTGCACGTCACCGCTACCGTTTTTAATCAAACACAGACATTCCGTTTCTTGACTCTGGACGTGTACACTTTTTGTGGTTCTCATCGCAGGCAAACACTATCGCACGACCAATCACGACTCAGCCATTTGGCTCGAGTCACATTCTTACCGGGGTTTCTCAAATTTTCAACATGTTCTAATAATAATATTTTTGGTACAAAGCAACGTCGCTGCTATTTTGAACTTTATTATTTCATATTCCACTGCAAGCTTTCCGATGGAATTTTGTAGTATTAATATTATTATTGTTATTCGTTTGAAAGCCAAAACTAGGGTCGAAATGAACTCAAAAGACGAGAGTCGAATAATATTGATCCTTCTACCAAAAATATTATTTATTACGCATGTTTATTCGTTCTAACTCTGCGGACGATAGTACGAATATATGGACGAAACACTAAATTCCTTCTTATCTAACCAATGTTAGAGGTTACATAATTTCTAACGAAAATAAACAGATCGAGATCGTGCTTCTGTGATTATAAATCAAATGTTACGTTTAACGTGACCGTTAACCTATACGATGTTTATATCCGAACATAACCTTTCCAGTTTTGGACATACATAGAGATGTTCTTTGGTGCTGCGTCGCTGTAAATGAAAAGAAAATTAATTTTCTTAATAGGTGTGTAACAGTTTATTAAAATTACAATAAAATATACGCATCGGATGAATAACTTTTCAAATTGTTTCTGGGCTTCCGTGACATTCGTGTTCCGAAAATCTACGTCCGCGAAGGGTTGATATAGTTGGGAGTCTCGAAAAAGGTAAATGATCGAGGGACCCTGGTTCGCAAATATACATTACAACACTCGTGTCGGTGCAAAAATACTTTCTCAAACATTCATATCTTAACGAATAGGTTCCATGGACCGGCGAAACGGATCCAAACAAAACCACGTAACCGGTAGCCATTTTGGAAACAGACTAGTCTCGAACACATACGAATACATAATTATATATATAAATAGCAACATACCCTTCCACGATCCTATCAAAGTAACGAAGTAAAGTATGTTTAGAAACACACACGAAAACGGAAAATATACATCGAAATTAGCTGTCCTCGTTTACGATGTAAACGTTGGATTCGAGATTTTTCGGAATATTCAAGACTTCCGAAGTGGCCTGGTAACGTTCTCTGGCCGATGAACGCTAATAAATAATATAAATTAAAGAAAGACAACGAATCGAGAGTTCGTTCGTTCTGGTCGTGGCGGCGTTATGGTCGCGACGACGTCGCCGCAGCTGTCGTTATTGGCGCTGGTGCTGCGTGGTCTGATCGAGGACCTCCATTTTCGGTTGGGTCTCCGGGGGCGGTGACGGTTGCTTCTGCTTCGTTTCCTCCTCGGTTTCCTTCACCGGCGGCGGCGGCAACGCGTTCAGCAACCCTTGCACAAAAGTTCGCCGTTGTACGGCTTATTGCAAATTCGTCTAACCATGGAAAGACGTCCCTTTTCTTGGTAATAAGCGAAACTCGTGGGAAAAGAAAAGGAATTGGTAACAGGGTGACGTTTTTTACTCACCGACCGTCTCCCCTTTGAGGGATGCTCCTGCAACAAAACAAAGGAACACTTCTAAAACAGTTAACTTACTTTCATTTTCTTAGAATATTAAGAGGGTGTTGAAAGAAAAAAATTAGGCATTTAATTAGATTTTCGGTAAGGAATTTTTTTCTCGAAAGTGCGTAGGATTTCGAGGGTATGTGTAATGACTAAAAATGATTGCAATTGACCCCCGCAATCGAACATAATTTTTCCAGAACGATTTGAAAGTATGTAATTTTGTCGAAAAATTCCATACCTTCTCGAATTTTTTTCTCGAAACCGGGAAGGATTTCAAGTGTATGTCTAATGACCGAAAATGATTGTAATTGACCACCACAACCGAAAATAATTTTTCCAGAACGATTTGAAAGTATGTAATTTTGTCGAAAAATTCCATACATTCTCGAATTTTTTTCTCGAAACCGGGAAGGATTTCAAGTGTATGTCTAATGACCGAAAATGATTGTAATTGACCACCACAACCGAACATAATTTTTCCAGAACGATTTGAAAGTATATAATTTTGTCGAAAAATTGCATACCTTCTCGAATTTTTTTCTCGAAACTGGGTAGGATCTCAAGTATATGTCTAATGACCGAAAATGTTTGTAATTGACCCCCACAACCGAACATAATTTTTCCAGAACGATTTGAAAGTATGTAATTTTGTCGAAAAATTGCATACCTTCTCGAATTTTTTTCTCGAAAGTGGATAGGATTTCGAAGGTACGTCTATTCACAAAAAATGATTGTAATTGACCCCCGCGACCGAAAATAATTTTTCCAGAACGATTTGAAATTGTTGAATTTAATTGTTAATAATTTTTTAACGAAGCCTCAGTTAAGAAATTAATATTCTTGATTTTCGTTTTATTTTGGCCTCTAGAATCCCTCGTTAAAATTTTTCACAGGGTTTATCGAACACTTTGTATATGGACCCTATAAGGAACTGCTCGAATCGACCAAGGAAATACGAAGTTTGTTTTCCCCCATAAAGAAGTTAAGGATGAGTAGAATTGAATTAAGCTTACCGTTACCGCGATACTTGTTCAGCTGCTGATAGACTTGCTTCATCCTCTCGATGTTGATCCTGGAGCTTCTGCTGTGATTCACTATCGGTAACGAGTAGTCCTGGCCGATGATACACTTGGCGGCCCGTTGCACGCTGAGCGGCGCGTTCCACGGTTCGTGGATGAACCTCGTGGGGAAGTTTTTCAGAACCGGCAAGTACCGTCTGTCATCGGGTTAGAATACAAAGAAAAAAACACGAAACGGAATCGTCTGTTTTTATTAAATATCGACAGACGCGGCTTAGAACTAGAGCCAGAACTACTCAAATTATCTAATACACGGTAAACGTATCCGCTCGACGACTTATTTCGTGTTTGATCCGGTACACTGTATCAAATCACAGTTTGAGGTTACAAGATTTTTACAATTAAATTCGCGTCGATGTTTTTGCATCTTTCTACTTTAAACGTTCATAACCATCGGTGGTATCGTTACCACCAAAAAAATCCAAAGTCTGTGTGTTTGTGACGTCCCTATATTGCACGCTACTTCTGTCCGATTCGAATAGAATTTCGTTCAGACGTTATCTACGCTTCAACAGGAAGTACGAGCAACATTTGCTTTTTATTAACACTTTGACGGCCGCTGTCACGTATATGTGACTTCGCGAGCTAGCAGACTGTTGGCCACTGTCACGTGCGCGTGATCTACCGTATCAGTCACCATTTCATCGTACATTCAACTTGTCACGTTTGTTGAGGTTACATTTATAATTCCTTCTAATCTTCATGTATCTCACTTTGGTCTACGATATCAATGGTGACGGACAACGGTCTTCAGGTGATATGTGCGGCCATTAAAGTGTTAAGAATTTACTTCGGGGATCCACGGCTCGTTTACCTGATATAATCACCGTTCGGATCCGCCTTCCTGCCGAATCTCACCGGACAGTAACAATGGAAGAACTGCTGGAAGAAGGAGCTGCACGACAACCACATCCACATACCAGCGTTCACCGACCAATCAGCGTCCAGGAGAAGTTCGTCGAACACCTTGACAAAAATTAATATATTATACCTGCTGGACGTGATTTGACCATTATCTTTACAGTAATTTTGTTATTAAAAAATAGCAACGTCGATCGAAGACTTCACTGCACGCGACTCGACGTTTTACCTTCATTCCTTCCTCCCAGGAGATCCAGAGGTCGCCTCTGGTCAAGAAACACGCGACAGCGTGTCTGGCCAAGTGATGGATCCAACCCTCCTCCCTCAGCTGAGTCATGATCGCGTCGATCCACGGGAATCCCGTTTGACCCTGTCGAACAAACGTCCTTTTTAAAATTAATTTTAAAAGTTAAACGATTAAAACTTTTAATCGACTCACGTTCGCCCACTTGGCCAGCGCCTCGACGTTCTTGTCCCATGGAATCTGCACGCAAATCGGGTTGCCCTGCATCCGGTCGAAGTTGGGATTCTTCGTAGCGGCGCAGTAAAAGAATTCACGCCACAAAAGCTGCCCGTGCAACGAGAGCGGCGGTACTGCTTTCTTTATCTGCGACGACGAACGATTAGAAAAATTAGTTTTATTGTATTCGACCCGTAAACAATTAGATATTACGTTACAATTCGAAGCGATAGTTTATACTTTGTATCAGGCTTGGACTTAAATGATACATATCATTAGGCTAGACTTTGATTCTAAAAACTAGCTTGGTATTAGCATTAGCGTGGGTCAAAGAAGACCCTTAGATTACAAAAATTACTTTTATTGTATTCGATCCGTAAACAATTAGATGTTACGTTCCAATTAGAAGCAATAATTTATACTTTGTATCAGGCTTAGACTTAAATAATGCATATCATTTGGCTAGACTTAAATTCTATAAGCTCGTTTGGTGTTAGCGTTAGCGTAGGTCAAAGGAGACCCGGAGTCGCGTAATTCAAGGGTTCGTCGTTGCTCCCTGACCCGCGATCGAATAAACACGACTGGAACCGGTGGCGTTCTCGATGCCACGTCGGGAACAAAGCGAAAAGGACTGGTTTTCTTTTTGAAAGGGAACAAAGGGAGCCGCGAATAACGACGCGAGACCTATTTAACGGATTTCCCGCGACGATTCAGCGTTCTCTTGTAACGCCAGGCCGGCGTCACGCGATTCGGGACATTGTACCTTTTTGTAGAGATCGGTGAGCTGGTAATAAAAGAGTCTGGTGCTCAAGCATCCGAACCGTAAGTAGGGCGAGAGACCCGTTTGACTGGGCAACAAGGACTGCGGAGTCATTTTTGGTCTACCGAAACTGGCCACCCAGGCCTTCCTCTCGAGGTGTCGACCCAGACGTGCCAACGCTTCGCTCTCGCCCCCCACCCAGACGGGGGGTCGAAGCCCCTCTGTGTCGAAGCCTGTAAACAATCGGTACAACTTACTCCCCTCTTATCGGATACATTTCACTTCGACGTCGTTCACTGGTGCTTGGCCACGAACAAAGGGTTAACATTTCTCTAACAATCTTAAATCCAACTGTTATCCCTTATCCTAGAGCTTGGGACACTGCTCAAATGACCCCCCTACAACTGAAGATACAATGGGTTCAAATAAGCAGATTATGATCCCATGATAAATTCTGATGGATATGTCACAAACGCAAAATATGGTACAAATGGCCCAGACGCATGGGAAACTTCGTCAAACAGAACCCGCGGCATTGGTCAATGGAAGAAGACCTATACGTGTGTATATTTTTTTATGTTCACGCTTGGAGAACTCTGGGGAAAGCCTTTTACAATCCTCACGCCGTTGAAAATGCTTCTAAGAAGTCCGTCGACGTTTTTACATAAAAATCTTCGATGATCGCTTAAAGTTAACAGAGTTGGCGGAGCGGATTACAAAACAAGTATCGTTACATTTATTTGTATAGAGAAAATGAATCCTCGGTGGCCCGTAAAACGTAATTTACAGTAATTGATAATTATATCGGCTATCAAGATAGAAAAAAGAAAACTGGTTCCATGGATGTCCTTTAAATAGACCTAACTGTGATTTTGCACGCGACGGAGCGACAAGGTCTGAAACAAAGCGCACGATCGCTGGTCGGGACAAGACAGACCGAAATCGGCGATCAGCCGTTACGCGCTTGCGCTCGACGCTTTCCTCCCCACTCCCCGGGAGAGCCAGAGCTGCTCGGTCCGCCAGCGGCAGCGCACGCGCTGTCAACCGCTCGGCGACATTTATTTCAGATCAAACGTTATGTACATTGGATTAAAGATTTAATAAAAACAATTATGGTCGGACAAATAAAACAACCCGATCCTTATACTGGAATAGAAAACGTCTACAACAGCTACTTAACGAGTTGAAATTGTCGTTCCGATAGAAAAGAAAGAGTCCTCGTCGAGACGTGGACGCGTTTGCCAAGCACCGGAAATATTTCGCGGTGTTTTACCGAGTTCCTCGAGCGTCGGGACGCCGTAATGGTCGTCGTGGTCCTCCTTCAGAGGGGTGTAGGCCGATCCCACGCAGGAGGAAGTGACGGTCGACACAGGCGGTTCCGGCGAGTCCATGCTGGCGACGACATTTTGGAATTGATGGTACGTCAACGGGGGCTTCCCCCCGTTCTTTTCTATAATCCTGAAACACGTAGCTACCGTTTGCTCAGGAGGTTCATCGATCTACCAACACGCCTAAAGCAAATCGAATATCGAGATTCGACGAACACACAGAGAGAGAAGGGCGAATTGAACACACGCTGATCGGGTCAAAGATGCTTTGGGACTCACTCGTCCAACTTGTAGAGAGTGTGCGAGATCCTTTGGACCACCGAGATACCGAGCTCCTTACAGAGTGTCGAGATGTTATGGTCCCGGACGCGACCGAACGGCTCAGGATCCTCCTCGAAGGTCAGGTTCGTCGTGCCCCATTCTTTGAACAGTTTTGGCAGAGCCTCCGCCGGTTGTCCGCGTATCACGAACAGCCTGGAGTTCAGTTTCCTCAGGGAACAGTCCAGATCCTCCAAACACTGCAGCAGGAACCTGTCGACGGACGCAGACTTTTGTGGAAAGGTTCAAAGTGGGCAAAACGTTTGTTCGAAACTGTGTCTTTATATACTCGATTATATTTAACGGAATTTAGTCTAGAATGGGATTGCGTTGTGTTCGAGAATTAGTTCACTCTCTGGCCCAACTCGCGGCGCGATGCGCCCCCAAACCGAATTTGGGGATCTGCACATAGTTGACATGCGCGCGCATCGAGATCTCTGGTGGCTCGGTCTTGTTCTAACCGCCAACGTGTTGTTCAAGTTGTTTCGTATCGTGGAAAGGAAGCAAACTTGTTTTGTTCAAGGCTACGTTCCACCTTTGAGAACAAACGGCCTGTCGAGTTACTTGCGAGAGAGAAAGGTCGAGCACGTCCCTCTTTCTGAATTTCTTCGTTCTCGAGTTTCTCCCTTCACGAACAAAGTTTCTAAGCGCGAGTTTGCTCCACGGAAGAACGTAAACGAGCTGCAGGAGTTATGGGGGAAAAGGAACGTCCTGGGACTTGCTCGTAGACTCGTCGGTAACGCAATGTAAGCGTCGCCACGAGTCACATACCCGAAGTAACATAAAAATAATATTTAAAACGAAGATTCCCCGCGACTGTTTTCGAGGTCCATTTCTGAACTCACCTCCATTTATTGATGCCGACGTTGGTGCTCCCGGCGAACCACGGGTCCAAGACAAAGACGCACCGGAAGGTAGAGGCACCAGCTAGGCTCTCCCTCAACGACGGATTGTCGTGCAGTCGGAGACCTTTGCGGAACCAATGGACCGTGTGTTTCCCGCCATCGCCGCGTACAGCCGCTTCCGGATTTATATCCCTGTTACGGCTCCCCGTCATCTTCCCTCTCTCCTGCCTTTCCTCGGTCACCATTCGCGTCTTCCTCCGATTCTACGACCCCTCGGCGGTCCCCTTTTTTGCCACTCTTTCGATAAAATCGCTACGATCGTTCAATCGGGGCAACGCATTTTTCTAGCAATCGATCGTCACTCCATCTCTGTTCCACGTACTCGTACTATTCTTTCCTTCCCCGTTCGTCTCTTTAACCCTAACGGGAGACGATTCGATGAACACTGGGGATCCTCAGCCACCGAGTACCGTCATCCCGACGAATTCTGCCCGAGCTGAGCGCTTCGGTTTTTTTTTTTAGGTTATCAGGTCGAATCTTCTCGCTATTCACGGGAACGAAAAAAAATCGTGTGGTTGATCGTCTCTCGTCGATTCATATCGCGCGCCGACTACATCCTCGTCGCGGCGGTGATCGATCGACAAAAAAAACGATTCACGGTTCTACGAACAGAATAGAATCGAAACGAAAATTACCTTCTAAAACTATCAGTTTAAATTCTAATAAACATTAGTCAACCTCCGACCCTCGGTCGTTTTTCTGCCCCCCACGGGAACGGAGTCGAAAGATCGTTAAAACCACGGGCGAGTATCGCGAAATGTAAACGGGAAACAATACGGTTCGGGGCACGATTTTTATTTCCGTCCAACTTCGTTAGCTGCAGATTAATTCCAGGTCGAATCACGTAACTACCATTCGCTCCCTATCATGCCCGAATATAGACTCGTGTTATATAATTATAATGCCTGGGTCTCGCGAAACGGCAAAGTTTTCGCTAACAAGTCGGCATCTTTGGCAAACGTTTCCGCGCGTGAATGATCGTTACGCGTAACTCCCCCGTGTATCGCCCACCGCGAACCACGAAACGTTTTAAAAGGTAACTCGAACGCGAACATTTTCCAACCTCGTGACCCATTTTTTCCCCTACTCCGAGTCCCCAAAGCAATTTCAAGTTTCGACCGAGCACCGCGATAATAGCATTAATTTAATCAAATACACGGATTTTGTAAAACTTGAAAGAGAATCACACGATGCTCGATAACACTATAATTTTACTATTTATACATTATTACTTCGTCCATCTGGAAGGTAAATAAATTTTCAACAAAACGATTTGAATTTCCCGCCGTCGGTAAATGGAGCATCGATTGCACTCGATAATAATATAATTTTACTATTTATACATGCTCCGTCCATCTGGAATGTAAATAAATTTTCGATAAAACGGTTTGAATTTCCCGCCGCCGGTAAATGGAGCATCAACTTAGTCGGTAAGGAAGTTCGTGGCTTTCTCAGCGGACGCGCCGAGAAAACGCAAAAAAAGCATTAAATGAATTGATACGAGAGCCATTCTACGTCCGAATTTGTTCCCGCGATATTTGCAGCTGTAACGATTTGTCGCGATGGCAGTCTAGGTTTTGAACGTTTGACGCGTCTCGATGAAACGAACTTCGATACGTCATCGTACACCGGAACGCGTCGATCGAAATTTCAATTAGTCACGCAAAGGAAGAACGACACGCTGGTCCGCCAACATGATCGGTTTTCTTTCGATCAAACGTGACGTAACTATTTACAATTCGGTACCACTCGACCGCTGCACCGTCGATAAAATAGAGGGTTATACGTTTTGTCACTTTATCAGGTTATTGGTACGAAGATATTAATTTTCGCGTTCGTCGAAAGCTACGTGACTACGAACAGGTGGGACGAGCATGATGCAAACAGTACGACGTCACCGTACCGTTGATTGATCGACGCGACCAGAGATCAACGTACAAGAGACGAATACGCATCGAGAACAAATTATATCGTAAACCCCGTCCCCCCTCGCGCGTAAAGAAAGTTTTCGTTGCAACTGCTTTACTCACGTGGTAACTTCGTAAAAATTGTACTCGGTGCTTCGAGTGCCTAGGACAACCTTGACAATGAGCGTTACAGGTTAAAACGACTACCGATCCGGTAACTACGTATGAAGATCGACAAGGACGTGCACTTCGAGACTCGATCTCCAGTCAACGTTCTCGGTCGAGAATAATTGACAAGAGTTTTTACCGATTACCCCCGTTTACCAAACACCTCGTTCTCCGGCATACGTACTCTCGACTACGTCGTTTCTATCAGCGACGCGACAGACGGATCGGCGTTCACGTGCTTTCGCCTGTTTCTCGATACAACAAAACGTTAATCTCGGGGTACGACTATTACGGATTATTAATCCAGGCTAATTAACGTCACGTATCCGAAATTACCAACAGAGCAGAACGGCGCGTCGGTCGGGAGCCGACTTCGCGCGTATTTGCCAACCAGATACTTACGAACGTGTCCGAACGTGTGCATTCTATCTCGACGCGATACGCTGGTTACGTTTTTTTTTTTCCCCCCCCGGCTGCGATGCACCGGCGAATTTATCGCGACCCGTCGAACCGATCACAAAGCACACGCGAGCGACACACACATACGCGGCACTAAGGCTCGACGAGCAGGTTTTCACATCCGTTGGTGCTCGTCGCGCAACGATCGCGGTACAGGTGGCATCGTCGTGCGTCGTCGACGCGCAAAAATCGCACGGAAAACTCGGCGCACGTAGGGAACGGTCGCTCGCATATGCGAACGTACAACTCAAAAGCAAACGCGGAGAAGGCGAGGCGGCGTGTAAGAGCCGAAGGGGGAAGTACGAGCCACGCCGAGTGCAACGTGACCGCTGGCACCCGCGAACCTTGCAATTGGCCAACACGATCACGTGATCCGTCGGTCACGTTGCAACCGCCGTGGTCCTCTCCCGTCCTCCCCTAACGTGCCTCTCGCTCGCTCTTCTTGACCGACGCCACCCGTCGCGCTGCCTCTCGCTCGCTCATGTTCGTGCGTTTCTGTTTTTCGCGTTTGCTCACACGTTCCTTGAAAACTACACGCGCAAGAATAAATCTACTATTTGCATCGTGTCCACCGCCGTAATGTGCCCCGATCGACGAAACGTTTGCTTCTCGTATATGGTTCCGGACCCGCCTCGTTCCGATCGTAACGGTCACTTCCGCTCGTACTCGTACGGGTTTAAACCGAAAACCGCTGTATGGTAGTTGACCGGAGTTGGGCAGAATTTTTTATCTAAGTAAGAAGTCTCGAACAACGAAAACTAAATAACCCTTTATCCGTTGTTGAATGGAAATGAAAAATTTCATTTATAGAACGAAATATTACGCGACGAACGGATAAAAGGTTAACTGTTTGCGACCCTGTACGATCGTCGAACCGTACGTTGCGTTCGATGATCGGTCGTAAATTGTTTTAAATCCGATAGTTTGTTTCACGTTATCCCCGAATATTTTCTGTTTCCATCGCAGCCCGAAAATATTGAATTTAAATCCACCGGAATGTATTACTTCCCGGCAGATTGTATTTTTATTTATACCTTCGCAGATTTTTACCATTGATCCGGAAATTTGTTTTGACGTACCTAACTTGGACTCTCGAATCGAATGCATTTTTTTACGTCAAAAACCACGTTGAACGCCGCGATATGAACTTTCTAACGGGAGCGTTTACTTTCATCGGTTAGGGGCGCGTTACGAAACACGGGATCTGTCGCGAATGTGGAAATAACGAGTCGAACAGAGTTACGGGGAAAGTGCATCGTCTTATTATTTTGCCATTTTACGCGACTAGCGGGACCGTGGTAGCCGAATGGTGTCGCAATTATTCTCGACAACTCTCTCCAACTGTGGTTCCGAGCTGTGCAGAACTTTTCAAACGCTCAACGTCAAAGTTTTATAGGTTATGATACCATGTCTGATAAGTTCGAACTGTATGGCTTACGCTTGAAATGGCTATAAGATTTTCGCGCCAGAAAATCGCGATTTATGTGAAGAAATAAGTCGAAAATGTGGAATAAAATTTACGCGCGTGATGTTTAGCTCGTTGAATACGATTTGCACGGCGCGTCTGTCCATTACTCGCTATTTCTACTTGCTCTGGCGTCCAAACCATACTCTGTACGAATTTTTTAATTTTAAAGTCGTTTTTTCGAAGACAAAGCCTCGTACAAAACAAATTCTTTCAAATTACTTCTGGTTGATTACTCTCTGTATAACATTACGTACGACGTGAAAATTATATGTACAAGACCCCTAAAGCTCCATTAGTTGTAAAATAGAATGTTCCATTGAAACGTACAATCTAATAATTATTGTGATTATGTAAAGGTACATTGATGCTCATGTAGTTAAATAGAAAGGTCAAGATTTAGGAAACCCCATTGCGAAAACGAAGGGTTAATTCGAGACGGTGTAAGTTATAAACGAAGAAAATGTCCCATTAATTGGACATGGAGTAGAAACGACTATCGTTCAAGTACTGAATTTTTTTCTCGAAAATGCGCAAGATTTCGGGGATATGTCTATTAGACAAAAATTATTGTAATTGGCCCCCGCAACCGAAAATAATTTTTCCAGAACGATTTTAAAGTATGTAATTTTGTCGAAAAATTGCATACCTTCTCGAATTTTTTTCTCGAAACCGGGAAGGATTTCAAGTGTATGTCTAATGACCGAAAATGATTGTAATTGACCCCCGCAACGGAAAATAATTTTTCCAAAACGATTTGAAATTTTTTTTTCCGTCGAAAAATTTCACACCTTCTCGAATTTTTTTCTAGAAAGTGGGTAGGATTTCGGGGGTATGTGTAATGACCAAAAATGATTATAATTGACCCCCGCAAAGGAAAATAATTTTTCCAGAACGATTTGAAAGTATGTAATTTTGTCGAAAAATTGCATACATTCTCGAATTTTTTTCTCGAAACTGGGTAGGATTTCAAGTGTATGTCTAATGACCGAAAATGATTGTAATTGACCCGTCGAACCGAAAATAATTTTTTCAATACGATTTGAAATTTTTTTTTTCGTAGAAAAATTTAGGAATTTAGGAATTTTTTTCTCGAAAGTGCGTTGGATTTCGAGGATATGTGTAATGACCAAAAATGATTGTAATTGACCCCCGCAACCGAAAATAATTTTTCCAGAACGATTTGAAATTTTTTTTTTCGTCGAAAAATTTAGGAATTTAGGAATTTTTTTTCTCTAAAGTGCGTTGGATTTCGAGGGTATGTCTAATGACCGAAAATGATTGTAATTGACCCCCCGAACCGAAAATAATTTCTCCAGAACGATTTGAAATTTTTGAATTTAATTGTTAATAACTTTTTAACGAAGCCTCTATCAACAAATTGGTATACTTGATTTTCGTCATATTTTGGCCTCTAGAATCTCCCATTAAAATTTTTCCCGTTGTCCTCCTACGATTCTCACGAATTCCCACCCGCGGTAAAGCAGCGCCACAATTCGATACATGGTTTTTCAAAATTGCGATTGAAAAGGCTATTGTCGACGGTGTGGGAACAAAAAAAAAATTCTAAATCGGCCCAATTGTTATCGTCGTTGTCCCGCAAATGAAATTCGACGATAGCGATTCTGGGAGCAAAGAACAAAGAGGCTCTCTCTTCGTAGAATAATTACAGTTGTTTATTAGTTTTCACATATAAAACGTACCAGGGAGAACCGCGTTTACTCCCGATACATTCCTCGTATCGCAAACCGTGCAACGTATATAAAAATGACTTCTTTCTCTTTTAAAATTCCATGTCGTGTGCGTGTATGTATGCATATGTGTGTGTGTGTGTGTTATTTGTTTGTTACTCAATTTCATTTCGCTCGTCCGTTCACGAACTTAGATCTATTACTTATATCTTCGTAGTTCCTCGATAATACATATTAATCGACGCTATCTTGTAGTCAATCTATAAAGTAAATATTTTCTCTATACATTCGTACTTATAATGTTAATTTTTTTTCACTTTTTTTTTCTGTTTTTTTTTTTTTCCTTTTTTGCTTCCTTTAATTCCGTACACCTGTCGCGGTGTACCGTCGCTGGTGCGTGATTTATCAGTACGATTACTCGGTTTCCGGCGAGTCGTGTTTCAGAGCTACCTCGATATCGATCAGTTTCGTTCAACATCCGTCGCGGAACTGTCTCAAATGTTACAAATGTACGTTAACCTTAAACGTACGCGCGCGCGAACACGCCCGTATGTATATATACACATATACACGGCTCATCTTAAAAGTACCCGAACTTCTTTTGTACAAACGGCTACAGAATTTTCATTCGAGAGGTGTTTGGAGGGAGTTGCCCCGCCGAATTTTGTCCGACAACGGTCATTTCGCTGCTAAAAAAAAAAAAAAAAAAACAAAGCTATGTTACAACTTATTCTACCACAGTCGGTAGCGGATTACGCGTTTGACGGAACCCTAGGCGCGAACCTAGTTCGGGGGGAGGCGCCACCTATCGTTTAAAATTACAAACAAGTAATTATTCCAACTATTACTTAAAATACTGACGTTTCGAACGAATAAATACAAAGCATGAGTTTGTATTTAAACGTTTCTCTCTTCTTTTTTTTTTTTTACTAGTTTTGGGGGACTCCTTGAGCATCCCGGGGCCCGACTTTACGTAGAAACGATTTGATTTACTCCTTCGCGCGAAGCCTTCACTTACAACTATACTCGCTCTAATTTAGATTCGAATCAGATCGACGCTATTTCCACCAAAAAGGTGTCTTTTAACATCTTCGCGGTCGGATGTTATATTGCGATACAATGTCGTCGAGAAGGAACGATTAAAACTTGAAAAATAATTTATAGCTAAAATTTTTTAGGGTGTCTCTTGACACTTTTGGTAAAAATAGCGTTGACCGTGGCGCCACTCTGACACTTCGACGAACTTCTGCAGACGCATTCGTCGTAAACTTGTCGGATTTACGAATTTACAGATTTCCACGACGAAGGGTGTCGCTGGTCCTCGGCCACCCACGGTATTCGCCTAATCTCGCTCTATATGACTATTCCTTTTTTTATTTTTATTATTCTCTAATTCGCGATAAAAGCAATTCGACGCAATATTCGACATTCGAAAAAGCTTCGACCGTTTCTTTTGACGCTATCTCGAAGGAAGCAGAGACGTTTCAAGAGCTTCTACGGATTTACAAACCGTGTATTTCTTCAGATGAGATACATATACAGGGTGTTCAAAATAACACGAAAATCAAGAATACCAATTTGAAGATGGAGGCTTTGTTAAAAAGTTATTAACGTTTGAAGTTCCGCCTGTACTGAATTTTTTTCTCGAAAATGCGCAAGATTTCGGGGATATGTCTAATCACCAAAAATTATTGTAATTGGCCCCCGTAACCGAAAATAATTTTTCCGGAACGATTTGCAATTTTTTTTTTATCGCAAAAATTTAGGCATCTTCTCGAATTTTTTTCTTGAAAATGTGTAAGATTTCGGGGGTACGTGTAACGACCAAAAATAATTGTAATTGACTCTCGCAACCGAACATAATTTTTCCAGACCGATTTGAAATTTTTCTTTTTCGTCGTAAAATTTAGGAATCTTCTCGAATTTTTTTCTCGAAAGAGCGTAGGATTTCGGTTGTATGTGTAATGACCAAAAATGATTGCAATCGACCCCCACAACCGGAGATAATTTTTTTAGAACGATTTGAAAAATTTTTTTTCGCCGAAAAATTTCACACCTTCTCGAATTTTTGTCTAGAAAGTGGGTAGAATTTCGGGGGTATGTGTAATGACCAAAAATGATTGCAATTGGCCCCCGCAAACGAAAATAATTTTTCCGGAACGATTTGCAATTTTTTTTTTATCGCAAAAATTTAGGCATCATCACGAATTTTTTTCTCGAAAATGCGCAAGAATTCGGGGATATGTCTATTCACCAAAAATTATTGTAATTGGCTCCCGCAACCGAAAATAATTTTTCCAGAACGATTTGAAATTTTTGACTTTAATTGTTAATAACTTTTTAACGAAGCCTCCATCAACAAATTGGTATTCTTGATTTTCGTCTTATTTTGACCTCCAGAATCCGCCATTAAAATTTTTCCCACGGTTGACCGAACACCCTGTATATATTTTCCAGTAATCGATAATAAAGATTGTTATTACTTTTTGAAAAAGTTTCGACGCGTCGACCGCCACGCCATTCGTACAAATTATAATACGAGACACGGAAATGTCCGACTAATTAAATGGCGTGATTGTATATATTTAACAATATTCCTAATTAGATTAGCGTTATTTACAATTTTACAAGCGTTACGGTTCGCTCTATTGCGAACGATATTACAACACGTTGTGGAATTTCAAGCTGCCGGTCACCGGTGACCACTATCGCGATCAACGTGCTCGTCGAAGTTCGGAGACTCTCGTGGTTAGACCGTGTACATATACACATATATACAAATATGTACGCATGCCAGTACGCGATATCTAATTGTAATCGTTCTATTCGTATGAGAAAAAGAAAAAGAAAAAGTGAAAGACTATCGCTATTGACGGAGCAAGGAGGATATCCAACGAGTCGCAAATTTTAAAATTCATTCGTGAATTTTTAAAAAAACATCCATTACCGGATTCTCCACTATATTTTACAACAATAATTCGCGTTAAATCACCAGTTGCAAGTAGAAGAGAACGTAGAACAGAATCTTGGATGAACCTGAACTCCGTCAACGTTTATTAATTTCGTTCGGGTCTATAATCGTATAATCTATATTTAAATAACAATTAGTAGACTCTACGCGTTCGACGTTCGAACAAAATATAGTTTTATGGCTGTGACGGCGCGTCGTTTTCTCGTATTGAGACTTCGGTTAACCCCCTATTGTTCCAGCTAATGTAAAACGTTAAAGTACGGTTTAAAGATAAAGAGAAACAAGGCTGACGTTGTAAAGAAAAAAAAAGTACGCGTCGTCGCTTTTCCCGCAATGTTTCTCAAACTCGTATTATTTGTTTCAATATTTTAAAGCTGCTTTTTAAAATTATCTTAAAAGAATCTTAAATTTTCAATTCTATTTAACACTAGATTTGCGAGCACTCATTAAAATACGATTTTTCTTTTAATTAGAATATGTATTCGTGCTATTGTATCAAACAAATTCAACACAAGTTGTTAAAAAATAATATTTGCGAGTTCTGGAATTTTAAATATGGAACCAGACATCCGTCAAATTGATGACTTCCGTAAATCTAGTGTTAATGATAAATTTTCTTTTCTTGTTCTTACGATTATTAATATTGAAGAACTTATTACTTCTAGGTAAAGCCATTTGAAACTTCCCCTTGCGAGGAGCTTGCAAACATCGGGTTTGAGAAACATTGTTTCAGTATTATAAATAGATTGGGGATGTTTATGCATTTATGGGAAATTTTAATCGTGAAAAAACTACAGAATGCATTTAATATGCAAAAATATAAGAAATACTTAAAGCAAGATACCAATTATTATATTTAGGGGTTGAGACAGCCCTCTGCGAAGCTTCCGTTTCATTAATTCTATTAATAAGAATGTGAATTTGCATAAAGATCCGCAGTCCAGTTATAAAACACGTACATCGTCGCTACGAATGAACATTTTTCGACAATTTGATACGTGGACTACGAACTCGTAAAGAAATCGCTGAATAATCGAGTAACCAAGTGGGTATTAACCCTTAACGGTCCAAGTGTGCCTCAAATGTATATTTCGTTATCGGTAATTATTCACAAATAAAAAAATAAATGTCTTGCTCGTTCACCAAAAGTTATTAATATGGTAAAAAAAAAACAAACAGTTTTCTACCGTGAGTTTTTTTTTTTTAACATTCCATGCATTGCTCGATTACAATTAACATAAATATCGTAATAAAAATTCTATTACTTCCGAGAAGAACAAAGACTGTTTTGAATGACTTTAAAATCATTCTTTACACGTCATTGTACCATTTAAACTTTGATATATTTGGGTCGTTATCGGTAATTGTTCATAAATAAAAAATAAATGTCTTGTTCGTTCACCAAAAGGAAGTAATATGGTAATAAAAACAAACAGTTTTCTACCGTGAGACCCGCAAACGCAAACCCAGTTTGAATCCCAATGAATGTTTTAAAAAATTCCATGCATTGCTCGATTACAATTAACATAAATATTGTAATAAAAATTCTATTACTTCCGAGAACAATAAAGACTGTTTTGAATGACTTTAAAATCATTCTTTACACGTCATTGTACCATTTAAACTTTGATATATTTGGGTCGTTATCGGTAATTGTTCATAAATAAAAAATAAATGTCTTGTTCGTTCACCAAAAGGAAGTAATATGGTAATAAAAACAAACAGTTTTCTACCGTGAGACCCGCAAACGCAAACCCAGTTTGAATCCCAATGAATGTTTTAAAAAATTCCATGCATTGCTCGATTACAATTAACATAAATATTGTAATAAAAATTCTATTACTTCCGAGAACAATAAAGACTGTTTTGAATGACTTTAAAAATTATTATTTACACGTTATCGTACCATTTAAAATTTGACGCTTGAGAACTTGCAAGTCGGAGCGTTAAGGGTTAAAATCCCCCAGGAAGTTGTATAAAATGTCTCAGTTTTGTCGCGCCGGTGTGCTTAACGATTAAATACGAAAAAGACTGAAAGCGTCGTAGATCCGTCATGCGAGGCTCCTCTGTAAAAAAATATACCTGTCTATGCCTACGTTCGATCAGAGTGATCGTAAACGCCTACGTTGTACCTAAGATTAAAATGGAAAACAGGCTTGTACCATTTCGCTAGAGATATATCTGAGTTTCTTGCGTTAATTCGCGATCTTCTTTCGTTTCTTTTCGAAATCCACGACCCTCTCGATCGTAGCACGTTAATCAAGGCCGCTATAAATTACGCTAACCGCCGAGGAGAACGTCCTACGTGACGTATTTTCCTATTTCGCTATTTCCTCGCAGGATAGACTGAACGGAACGGAAACGGTCGAAAGTGATCTAACTTCCGCTTAACGTTAGAGATTGCTTGTCGTTACATCGCAGCTAGATAATCCCGTACGTCTACAAAAGAAGGGAGTAGTATTTCAAACAACGTTGATTTCCAACAGAGATGGCCAGTATCTCGTTCGAATAGAAACTATTACACTTATTTAGGATTCACTTGATTTAACTCCTTGACGTACACGATTCAATTACAAATAATTTGTTAAACGTACACCGTTTAATTCAATTTAATAAAAAGTACAGATTTGTTTGACCCGAATATTTAGCGAACAGCTTATTCAGGATTTATTCAACACTGGAACTACCACGAACCAGTCAAAATGGCCGGTTCGTAATTTCTAATAAAACTTGTAAGAAATTTACTCGACTGAATTTTCGAAAATTTATCGTAATTTTTCATAAGAGAATATATAAACACTTATTTCTTTGGTACAAATAAACACGCTATAATTGTCGGTAGTTCCAGCGTTAACACAACTCCGTGACGTACGATTTAATTATAAACAATTTTTCAAACGTACACCGTTTAATTTAGTTCAATTTGTTAAAATGCGTTAATTCTGATATATCGCCAAGAGGTTAATATAATTGTTCGTTATTTGAAATTTTCCATCCGAACGAGAATTTCGACCATCTGAAATTTCCACTTGTCGCAAGATTTCTTCGACCATACTCGCTCATTTCATTAGGAGTCGCGATTTTTTTTTCTTTCTTTCTTTTTTTTTCTCCTTTTTTTTTTTCTTTTTAACGTAGTAACTTTTAAAGCTATGATTTTAATCTCATGAATCGATCCCATCTTCTCTGTAACAGTTAAATCTGTTTTCCATCGATCACCGTTTCGTCTAAAAAAAAACAAAAATAAAAACAAAGCTGAGAGAATAAAAATATTCGCGCAGAAGCTCGTTTATCTGGAATAATTGCTTCCAAAGACAGCATCGAATTGTAAATCACACCGAGAAATATTGCAAAACGCTTTTACATACGTTCGTTAAATATATATATTTTCTATAACGCATCGATACCTCTTATTAAAGATGGGCTTATAGTTATTGATAAAATATAGATAATTAGCGATATGAACGTAAACATATTATCGATATACCGATAAAATATCGCTAATACGTAATACATACGGTATCTCAACTTTCCCTCGAGGGTCGCTTACGATATTTACAGATAAGCTTGGAAAACTAACCCCCTGCAAAGAATATCTAACCTATTAATTTGCTGGTGGTGTGTAACCACGTAACGAACGAATCTTTTCTAAAAAAAAAAAAAAAAAAAAGGAGAAACGCTTCGAGACGGTAAATCGCGATTACGATTCAAGTTACGCTTAAACGAACAAAACATAAATGAATTATACGTAATTAATTATACATATTTTATTATCGATAATTTAAGGTTATATCGATAAACGTAACAACGTTATCGATAAGACAAAAAAAACGAATGTTATCGATAAGATATCGATAATTAATAAGCCCATCCGAACCTCTTGCTCTTTTTTCATTTTCTTTACGGCCACATTAATATATCCAGGTACGCATTTGATGCCACGCAAATAATTCGATTAAGATACGTAAACTATTGTACAAGAAGAAATTCAAACCTCTGTTTTTTTTTTTTTTTTTTTACAATTTATAGGAACATCCGTTTGGAGGGTTCGCAGTTTAGATGCAACGACCAATGATAAGTATCTTATTTTATTTTACACGCTTCGGTGGTCTGCGGCGTTTCTTAGCCTCGGTGTTCACGGTATGATTCAGAATCGAGGGTTTGGCAGTGCGCGGATCCATTGATTTCTGTACACCCCTACCGACGTTGATTTTGTACAAGTCCAACTTGACCGTCTCGCTCTCGATCGCCTTTTTCGATCGTCTGGTTCTACCGGCTATTCTTTCCATCTCGTCGAACTTCGCCTGCAATCTCTGCGCCAGTTCGAAATCTTCTTTCTCCTGTATAACCAGTCTCTCCATTCGTTCCTGTTCCTTGACGATCTCCTCGTCCGAGAGGGCGCCCTTCTCCGTACTCATCACCAACTCTGTGGTGTTGTTATTCTCGGACACGCACTCCTGCGCCTCGCTGCACGACTCGGACGAATTGTAATTGTCGCTGTTCGCGGAAGAGCTGTTCCCTCGTCGCGACTTTCGCGCCGTTTTCCTCGACTCGGAACTGCCCGCGTTGCAACCCGAACCCACGGACGCGTCGCTTTTCTCGGAACTCTCCGTGCTGGACTGTTTCGCCCGACACACCACGCGCTGTTTCGACTTCGATAAGGCGACTCTGGTAAACTTAGTTCTACTCCTCTTTTCCACCGTTACGTGCACGTCGTCCGTCTTGTACTCGAGGTCCTCCTTCCTGCACAACCTCTTCCTCGTGTTCCTCTTCGCGGTCACTTCCGGTTCCGAGTTTAAGGAAGACACTCTGCTCGAACTCTTTTTATCCGCGTTCGTCTTTCTCCTTTTTATCCTCTCGGCGATGTTCTCCATTGTCACGTCGTCCTCCGGTTGCATCGCGAACTCATCGTCGCACGGCGAGCTGATCTTTACAGACGCGGACGACGAGGTCGAATTTCTCGCCTCGGTTTCGTCCGTGTATTTCGCGTTCCTTGCGTCCTTTTTCACCCACAGGTTTCGTTGCCGTTTAGATTTGCACACCATGCCGTTTCTCGCGTGCGGTTTCCACGATTTCTGTATCTTATCGATATCCATGTGCTCGTCCAACGTTAACTTCTTGCTAACCTTAGTGCCATTGATTATTCTATTCGTGTTTCTCGCGTAATTCTTGTTAGAATCGAACGACAGCTCCGACGTGAAATCAATTTTACGTATGTTGTCGTGAATTTGAGACTTTGTTATTTTAGTGGAAATAAGGTGCGACTGATCGAAGGACGTTGACGGCTTCTGCTCCAACCCATCCGTATCTTCCTTGTACGCGTCCTTTTCTTTGAAACTCTGTTTCGTTTTGCCTACGAACAAAAATGCTGTATTTAAAAAAATAAGTGAAAACATTTAATAATACCGATGTAATCTCTGTTGTATCGTGATCTAAAATTAACTTACCACGGAACGCGCTCCACGAGCACCCAATAATTCGTTTCAGATGTGCCTGCGACGGGGCTTTAGGTACAACATTAGATATCCTTTTAAGGACAGGAACGACTCTAATTAATTTTGGATCTATTTGCCTTCCATCTGCAACGCAATGTTATATAATTTCTTCGAAGGTATTAAAAATTTAAGGAAACTTTAATACGATACAAAATGTGATTACAACCTGTGGATGTTTTTAATGGCGTTCTTGGCATAGCTTTTATTGGCTTGAAATGATGAATCTCTTGATTGATACTGTCATGGCTTCCAGCGCTTTCTGCACTTCCCATTCTTTCGTCGTCGTCGCCCAACGTCATACACACCTCCACTCCTAAACTTTTCTTTTTACTGTTCACAACATCGTTCGGTACGTTCAATTCCTCTTTGCTCTGAGTGCCATATATTTTTGAAGAGGACGTTCCGGGCTCCATGGTGCAATTCGACGTACAAGGATCGATCATCTTTGTGACTGCTTGATGCTTTAAAGTTCTCGAGATGGCATTGTGTATAGGAATTGGTTTCTGGCAACAAAATTTCGCCAGAGTATCGTTACATTCACCGGACGTGTCGTTGTTTTTTATACTAGAAGCATATCTCTCCGCGCGTATTTTCGATATCAATGCGATATTCTGTCTTCTTAAACCCGAACTATCTTGATGCTCTAAAATAGTTTCCTTTTCGCATTCAGAGCCGTGAAACTTCGCTCTGTACGGATTCATTTCCGTCACAGCGGCGACATTAAATTTTGACATTTGAAAAGAACTATTAGAGGTGCTAGGATAATCGTTATAATATTTAGAGATATCTTTGTGCTTATCCGCGATTTGCTTTTTCGCCAATGATTTCGCGAGCAATTGATCTTGAGCTAATTGAGCCAACTGTTGCTGTTGCTCCTCCTCTTGGATCTTGCGAATCAAAGCCTCGCTGGCCATCTGTTCAGCCTTCCTTTGACATCGTATTTCCTCCTCAGCCATTTGAAGTTGCACTTCATATTCCCGGCGAATTTCTCCAGCCACGCTGAGTATTTTATCAGTGGCGGTAAAACCTACGCGAAAGAAGAAATTTTATATTTCTGTACAGAACCGACGGAACGCGCGTCAAAACTTTTTGCACAAGAGTCGAGTCTCCGTTTCCTTTAAGAATAACGCAAAATCTACAGACGGATGAAAAATTTAGTAGGAGTATAAATGATAAAACACGCTTAAAAAAGGAAAGATAGATAACGGTGTAGTTGAAAACACGGATGAAGAAAAATTATTTCTTCGAAAAATGTCATAATCAAATTATCGCGAAGACTGTATTTTGATCAATATTTAAGTCCATCCGAGTTGTTATTAATTCGTGGTACATACCTGTATAAATCTATACATACGTACGTTCATTCATACATGTACGAGTGTGTGTATATGCTTCTAACAGAGGTTATGTTACGTTTGTTTATCCTGTCTCATAAGAAACTCACCAGCATCCAATTCGATGTCTTTATCGTCGCCGTTGTACTTGTCCTCAACCTCTTTCGGGAACTTCGTTCGGATTAGTTCCCAGAGTCCGTTATTTACTAAAGTTTCGGTCTTGGTTGCAGTACGTAGCCAAGAACCGACCCGTACTCTACAGAGAGGACAGCTCAGGCTATTGTGTTCGAAAGTACCTTTCAGACATCTTAGACAGAGATTGTGCGTGCACGGCAGCGTTACTGGCTCGATCAGGATGCTACAGCACACTGGACATATTAAATCTCGAAGGCTAATATCCACCGATGATTGTGACAAAGAAATATCAAACAGTTTTGACGTTCGCTTCAAATACGTCGCCATCTTGCCATCATTCTTCGAAGAAACACAACAGCCACTGCCACCATCGCGAGAACCGTGGTTCTCTTACTGAATGGAACGTTCGCGGTTCAGCCAATCTGAATCTGAATCGGATTCTGCATAAACATGTATAGGTAAATGTGATGCGTTCGAAATTAATCGACAACTTTCTACCACTCGATGCATGCCTCTGTGCATGCTTCTAATGCCACTAGAACCAAATTTCTTAATTATCGATGGAGAGCAAAGCGACAAGTTTAGTTTTTAATCTCTTCGTCGGAAACGGCTCATCTAAGCAAATTGTACATGTGAATATTATATTGGTTCTATGTTCCATTATGCAACGAATGTGCAATAAATTCTGGCGTAATTTAAACAGTGGCGTGTAATATGCGCTTGCGTAGATTATATTTAGACGTTTATAACGTACATACATGGGAAACGAATAAATATGAATTTTTAGAACCGAGTATTATAATTGGCGCCTGAGACATTTAATTTAAGTGATCGTCACCACCGGGATCTATTAATTTTTGCCGTGAGAGGAGGAAGTCACCAGCTAGAGTACCAACCAAGACACCTGCCACAAAGAATATAGGATTCTGCCGATAGCCTAGGGGCATTTGTAAGGTTGGCAACGCGAGTGGCGCCAGCTGGAGGCATGAGACAGAGAACTAGCGCCCACTTTCGTCTCCGTATCCCGCCATTCCGGCACGATTATTCGTTTGCAAATAAAACTGTTATATAGCTAGACGTGAAGTGATTCATTTACCTGGCATTCCCACAAGATCTTAGTTGTTGCTTGTTGCTAGAACTAGAGACTTTCTCTCCAAGCGAAAAGTATGGATCACTATGGTGAACAGCCACGAGCATCTTAAGCACCAACGATAGATATCAATTATTTGACCAAGACTTTTGAAATTAGAATATAGAATTTTAGAATATGTTAAAGAACATAGATTGAGCGAGAATTTCAGGTTAAGAACCATCAGTATAGACATTTGACTTAATTTCCCCGAAAAAAATTGTGCCATAAAAAAATTTTAATATTAAAATCTTAAACATATCATACATGACAACAAAATTAGGAATATTATGCATTGTATCTTGTATACTTGTCACAATCATCATATCATATGCATATGGCATGTTGTGTTAAATTACAATCCTAGAATTTAAAAGGATCCATTCTACGGATTAACAATAAAATATACTTACCCTTTTTTTTTTTGCTATAAAAGATATTTGTTCTAAAATATCTTGCAACTTCTTAATATTTAACTAGGAAAGTATTGTAAGACTATATTTAAAAGGAATAAAAATGCGAAACGAAAACTGACTTTCCTTTGTCTCAAGAAAGTCCTTTTTGAGAGTGGCACGCGGCAATGTCCTCGAGAGCCTTGAATTTATGGGCCTGCGTCGTCGAAGCCATCGGGCCCGGCGCACATGGCTCACCATGACCTAAAGTTCAGGTCCTAAACCTAAACAAGGTCTAGACTAGAGCCTTCCTCCGGGGACGACCAGTTTTAGTTTTTTTTATAGTATTGATTTACATTGCAGCGTTAAAGGCACTAGGGACGTTTGAATTTCCGATTGGTAGTTAGAATGTATCTAACACCTAGGTATCTAGTGAGGACAGAATCGATTAATCCGTATGTAAAATCGTTTACATTTACAATTTAATAGTTGGCAAGACTTAAATCAGTTAAAGTATAGTTAAAATTCGTTCATTAATGCCCATAGTTTTATGTAAAAGATGATTAACTTTATATGGAAAGGGTAATATAATATCAGTTAATAATCGAACATATGTCAGAGAACCGTTAATGTACACTGTATTAATCGATCTACTAAAGAAGATAGAGATTTGTATTATTAAAGATCTGTAAAAAGTATAATTACTTTTAACTTCTATGAACGATTATCGACGTCATAAAGATGGCAAAAGGTATTTAAGTACATCTATCTGCGTAATACTATTAATGTCACACTATTTAATACTGCTCATATTATTCAAATAAATCTACTAAATTTGCATGCTATTTAATAATACATATAAAACTGATTTATCTTTCTCATATAGAAACAGGAAAGAAAAGTGATAAAAAAGGTGGGAAGTCAGATAATTCAGAACAGCAACAACCATCTGGATCAAAACAACAGCAGCAACCATCTGGATCGGAACAACAGCAGCAACCATCTGGATCAGAACAACAGCAGCCATCTGAACCAAGACAACAACAACAATTACCTGCTTCAAGTCAACAGCAACAATGGCCACACGTATCAGGACAGCAACAACAACGGCCACCTGGCCCAGGACAAGAGCAACAACGGCCTCCTGGCCCAGGACAACAGCAACAACGGCCATCTGGCCCAGGACAACAGCAACAACGGCCACCTGGCCCGGGACAACAGCAACAACGGCCACCTGGCCCAGGACAACAGCAACAACGGCCACCTGCCTGGGGACAACAGCAACAACGGCCACCTGGTCCAGGACAACAGCAACAACGGCCACCTGGCCCAGGACAACAGCAACAATGGCAACCTGGTCCAGGACAACAGGAACAACGGCCACCTGGCCCGGGACAACAGCAACAACGGCCACCTGGCCCAGGACAACAGCAACAACGGTCACCTGGCCCAGGACAACAGCAACAACGGCCACCTGGCCCAGGACAACAGCAACAATGGCAACCTGGTCCAGGACAACAGCAACAACGGCCACCTGGCCCAGGACAACAGCAACAATGGCAACCTGGTCCAGGACAACAGGAACAACGGCCACCTGGCCCGGGACAACAGCAACAATGGCAACCTGGTCCAGGACAACAGCAACAACGGCCACCTGGCCCAGGACAACAGCAACAATGGCAACCTGGTCCAGGACAACAGGAACAACGGCCACCTGGCCCGGGACAACAGCAACAACGGCCACCTGGCCCAGGGCAACAGCAACAACGGTCATCTGAACCTGGACAACAACAACAACAGCCTCCTGGACCAGGACAGCAGCAACAACGGCCACCTGAACCAGGACACCAACAACAGCAGACATCTGAGTCACAGCAATTATGTGATTTAGAAACGGCAGTGTCTAAAACATCTTTGAGCAAACCAAGTGTGCCTATGGAAACTGCTTTAGAAGGTCTACTGCCGCATGTGGTAATATGATACATACGTGCAGTAATGGTATATTGTTATTTTGATACCTATAGTAACAATCAATATACTTTTTTATTTTTTATTTTTTCATTTAGCCACCGATTGTAACCAGAAGTTCGGTGACTGGAAGATATATTGTACCATATACATTGCAAAATCAGTACATGAGTCAAATACCAAAGAGAAGTGGTCTTGGTGGAGGGAGAGCGGGTAGACCTATTACGGTGGAGACAAATATGTTTAAAATTGTTTTTAATAAAAATTTTCAAGAGAACATTATCCACTACGACGTGGTCATCGAACCAGATAAACCAAAGTTTTTAATGAGGCCAGTTTTTGAGCTATATCGAAAGAAGAATTTTCCAAATAGGTACCCAGCATTTGATGGGAAACAAAATGCATACAGTGCGCAGGAGCTTCCATTTGGCGATCGCAGTGTAAGTAAACAATTCATGGTTTATTATCGCGCTTAATATTATTTATAATTTACGGCAAATATTTTCTATGTATAGCAAGATGTCATACGCGTGTATTACAAAAAAATTCAGTTTGATTATAATTTTTCATTCGTATTTATTAAAGTGAATATATTATTTTACAAGTTACGTTTAATAATTTTTTATAGAAAGAACAAGAAATAAAAGTTTTTGACGAAGAACGCCAACAAGAAAGAAGCTTCAAAATGTATATGAAAAAGGTTGCATCTCTTAATTTAGCATGGTTGAAAAATATAAAGTATGGTCTAGTTGAATTACACTCGGAACAAAGATGTGTGCAGGCTTTGGATGTTATTCTACAGCATGGGTCTGCAAATCACCATGTTTCAGTAAGTCGATTTACAATATTAATAATTTACGCGTTAGAATAACTTTGATAGCAGTATTAAACAATCCAAATTATAATAATTGTTTTTGTACCAAGAGAATTTAAAATGTATTAAAACTTAAATGTTTCGTTTTATTCAATTACTAATTAGAATGTATAATTTATGAAGTATAGTCTATAATTATGCTATAATAACATAAATTGTAGTAAATGCTACTGTTTATACAGGTGGGCAGTTCACTGTTTCCAGCTCCTGAACCAGGTAGAGTTGTATCAATATCAGGTGGTATGGATTTATGGATCGGTTTATTTCAATCTGCTATAGTTGGATGGAGACCTTACTTGAACGTCGATGGTAATACATTAGCATAATTGTATTTGTTTTATTCAACGTAATAAGCAAAACATATACAACAAATTTTTATTATACTTAAATATAAGTACGTTTAATGCGTTTAATTGTAATAAATTTTATATTTAGTTGCGCACAAAGCATTTCCTATGCCCCAGTCAGTTATTAATCTGATGAAAGAGCTTTGCCAAGATCCCAGAAGTCGTACACCGCTACAGCATGTAACTGCAAAGGATGTAGAATATAATTCTGAAAAGATAACGAAGTTTTTAAAAGGATTGAAAATTCAATATGAAATACCTGGTCAACCACATAGCAAAAGAACTTACCGTGTAAACGGATTAGTCGGCTGTCCAAGAAACAATGAATTTCGTTTAGACGATGGCAGTATGTGCACGGTTGAAAATTATTTTTTACAAACAAAAAAGTATAGGCTGGAATTTCCTGATCTACCCTGCCTTTGGGTAGGATCCCGGAATAGTGAAAAGAAAATACATTTACCCGTAGAGGTATATAAAGACAATTTACAATTTATGTTAGTATCATAAAAAAAAACATCGATTAATTTTTATTCGTGTTCCTCAGTTATGTACAATTGTGGCTGGACAAGTCACGCAAAAGAAAATGGATGAAACTCAAACGTCGAAAATGATTCGTTACGCGGCAACTGACACCCACACACGTAAACAAAGAATTATGAACGGCGTAAGGAATTTTATGCATGTATACACCCGTCAGGAATAGTACGTTTTTAACCGTATTAATGTCGACGTGGTTTTTTAGTTCGCAAAAATGAGATTAAACCAACAACCAACTTTGATGAAAGAGTTTGACCTTTCTGTCCAAGGGGAATTTGAAAAAGTACCAGCCAGAGTCCTTCAGGCCCCCAAATTAAAGTATAAAGAAAACGAAGTTAATGTATTTAAAGGAGTATGGCGTGCGGATAAATTTTTAAGTTCATGCGAATTACCAGACAATTCATGGACTATTTTGAATTTAGACAGATACGTTCAAGATCGTGAGTTATATGATGGTTTGCACAATAAATTGCAAGCCGGTGGTTAGTATATCGTTATTAAGCCGTTATCTATAACGCAACTGATAACAGAATTATAATAATAATTATTTCCTATGTTTTCCTTTAGGTAAATTTGTCAATATGTGGATTGGCAAAGCACTAACTCCATTTACGACTTTAAGTGTACAAAGAAATATTAATAATATCTTGCAGTATTTTACAGAGAAAAAGGAACAAAATTTAAGATTAGTGGTCGTAATAATTCCAAATTTAGACGATGCATACAGTAAGCAAAGAAGATTACATAATTCGTTCGATAGTGGGAACGTTCTTGAACAATTTTCTAATTTTTTTTTTCCAGGTATAGTGAAGCAAATTTCCGAGCTGAAAATAACGGGTGGTATAGTAACCCAATGTTTAAAGTCTCAAACGTTAAAAAAATTGAGCGACGCAACGATTACAAATATTTTACTCAAAATAAATTCGAAGCTCAATGGCGTTAATCATACATTTGCTCCTACATTTCGGTAATATTATTTTTCTTTAACGAGTATAATTTACGCGGCGTAACTATTAAACTTTAACAGTTTTTATTTTAATACGTTTCGTCCTAAACGTTTTTCGAGATATTTTTTAGGAGTACTTGCTAAGTTGAAAAAAAAAAAAATAGAAATGACGCTAACTGCGTATGAAATATTGTTTGTTTTAGGCCGGCCTGTTTAGCCGTACCATGTATGTTAGTTGGCGCGGACGTCACCCATCCATCTCCCGATGCTGTAAACATACCATCGATCGCTGCTGTAAATACCTTCGATTACAATTCCTTAAAATATCATCTTATTTAATATGCGCGCATCTTGATTACCATTTTTATAATATAGGTCGCCGCGAGTCACGATCCCAATGCTTTCCGGTATAACATTGAACTAAGACTTCAGCCGCCAAGAGAAGAGATCATTCAAGATCTCCAAATGATAATGCACAAGCAGTTGCTTTACTTTTTCCGGGCGACCGGGAAGAAGCCTATAAAAATTATCTTTTATCGGTAAATATTATTTAATAGGTACCCCATTATAATGTATATAGGTCGAAGGTACGGTTTAACTATAAAAAAAATGAACTGAACAAATATCTCTTTTCGCGTGTGTACAGAGACGGCGTGAGCGAAGGCCAACTTGCCCAAGTGATGCATTTTGAAATATCCGCGATAAAAAAAGCTATCGCGAATTTAGAAAAAGACGGTCAGCATAAAATAGCGCTTACGTTCCTCGTGGTGCAAAAGAGACACCACATACGACTTTTCCCTACCGATCAGAGGAATTCCGACGATAGGAATTTCAACGTGCAAGCGGGTACCATTGTCGACACGGAAATCACGCATCCAACTTTCATAGACTTCTATCTCGTATCGCACGCTAGTATTCAAGTACGTTAGCAGATTTCCGGTGTACCGTCTATATTATGATTTTTATTTATATTACGTGTACACTATAAACTTTTGAAAATTTATTAATACAAACGCTGACGATGATCAACGCTAGAACTACCGACGATTATAGCGTGTTCGTTTGCACCAAAGGAATTGAAACGATAGATACGCGATGAATTTTCAAAAAATTCGGTCGAGTAAATTTTTTAGAAGTTTTATTAGAAATGGGTAATTTCGACTGGTTTGGTAGTTCCAGCGTTAATCGTATATAATTAATTATCGGTAAAAATAATTTCTGCTTTCAACTAAGTTTGTCGATACGTTTAACGACTTTTTATAGGGTACTGCGAGGCCTACAAAATACAGATGTATATGCGATGAAAATAAGATGACGGAAGACGAAATTGAACAGCTAACATATTACCTTTGTCATATGTTCGCACGTTGCACAAAATCGGTTAGTTATCCTGCGCCTACCTATTACGCTCATTTAGCTGCTTTCAGAGCCAGAGCACTGATACGCAAGTAAGTTACACGCATAGATACATAATTTAATATAAGTGTGTATTAAAATAACAAATTGCTATATATCTGTAATTTACATATGTGCAGCGTTTCCTTAAACATGGAGAATCTGATAGGCGAGCAACAAAAGAACATGACTTTACAAATGACAAATTCACCGATGTTTTTTGTGTAAAAATTTATACATATATATATATATTATTCTATATTTTTGCTTTTGAAACGGACATGTTACTATGCTTTTGGCAATTTTTATACAATTAATTAATTAATATGTCAATGAATAGTTGTTGCATTATATTATTCGGTAAATCATATTATCTTTTATTAAAACGAGAATACGATATGTTTTATTTTATCATGTTAAGAAATAATTTTAATTATTTTATTCGAAACTTTTGATCGGCATCGCTAAGTTTCGTGACTTGTTCGTGAAATGGAACCTTAGCCGAAAGAATCACGATGCTATTCCTTTTATTTATATTTGAGTATGTATAATCTACTACAATCCGCGATGTAATCTGCTTACGTGTAACATTCAATAAAACTAATAAAAAATACTAAAAACTTTCTATGCACATTACCTATGTTTTCTGTCCGTAAATGTGTTTAAAATAAACCATTAAAGACATTTGTACCTTTGAAATTTCTGTTGCTGTTTTCATTCGTTAAAAACGTACGTACAAGGTTACGAAAATAAAAATTTCGTTACATTTTACTTCGTACGTCAATGGAATACTGAAATTTATTATTGAGACTGAATATAAAATTGATACACGGTACTATCATAACGAAACGTAGCTAAGAATGTTATCTGGAACGTCGTACTATCGTCGAATCGTAGTCATAGCAATCGATTCTCTTTAAACGCGACGTCCAACTAATATGGCGCATCTTGGTTCAGTGTCGGTATCTGGGATAACGATAGCTACACTTAATTAACTCTATCGTGCTTCCCAAGTCGTGTTCCGATATATTTATTTTATTTAAAGTCTTCTGATCGAGACTTTAAATCGAACATTGTGCCAGAGTATTGCTCGCATCACGCGTTCGTGTATTTGCATATACCATTCACCAGTGTAAACGTAAATTTTATCGATCGGTTAAACCGTTTATTTTCCACACTTTCTGTTCGTTGAATAAGCTGCTGGTGAAACGTTAATTCGCAGTGATGGGATTCGTTTGTTTCGATGCACACAACCTCAAAGTCCTTCGCGAGTTTTAAAGAAAACAAAAGTCGTGCAGACGGATCGGAAAACGAGCATATCGGCGATATTAAGCACCCACGTATGTTCTTACCTTATAATTACTTTGAACATGAAAAGAAGCTGACAACCGTTCAGTATGCATGCACATTTATTGGGAATAGAAAATACGGTCGTGGGCGTCGAGTGTTAACCTTAACGCGACGAAAAGATACTAGAATCAAAACGTACAGGAATTAAAATTGTAACGCGTGTCTTAATCCGTAGTTGCGTGAAATAAAATAGCGTGCACGTTCGATGATCATGCATGTACATCGCTTCCAAGGGGTCATTGCACGCCTATGTTCTATTCTCGTTGACACAGCATCGCGTTATGCAGATCGTACGAATAACGTATTACTACGCGTGGAATGCTCCCATAAAATTTTATATTCCGACTGTCGGTTTACAGCGACCGAAGGCATTCCAAATTGTTTCTCGTCGATCGCGACGAGGGGGGGAAAAAAAAAGGAATGCGCAAGGTTGCGAGCTCGTTCGTAGTATTTTTCAGATGCGACGGTTAAACGACAAGTTTCAACGTTACGATTGGAATTTTCAAAGTCGCGAACGCGGAATGAAAAATGGCGAAACGGGTATAGAAGTAGACGCGTTCTATTTTTATTTAACTTCCACGGGGGAAAAATAATTGAAATCGTACGTGATCGCGCAGGGGGGAAAGCTGATGCGCGAAATTTATGGGGGAAGTCGCAATTCCATTCATGGAGCTCGTCAGACTCAATGGGGTTTTGAGGACGCGTAGGGTGGGTTACAATCCCCTCCTATAGAGAAGATCTAAAGTTGAAGGTCACGTATCCCCTTGGAAAAGTTCTACGCCGAACAAGAAATTCGCTATTACACGCGGAAGACGAAACAACGATTTTTCAAACGTTACAGCGCCGTGGTTTTAACGATGTCGTTGTTTAGCACAGATAAATGCAATGTTTGAAAAGTTGGCTACATTGGTGTCGCGTTCCCTCTGTTGGGGTTAGGACTTGGGGCTTACAGAGTTCGGTAAAATGGTAATTGATAAACGATTGGAAGTCTGATTATTTACAGATTACAATTTGTAATCGACATATTGACTACGATCACACTACAGTTACCAAATGTAATCTCGACTCATTACACTTACAATTATAATCACGATTATAACCTAGTCATTACAACTAATACAGTTTCACGAATGCACGTAAAGCTTGCGAAATTTCTTCGATTCGTGGATTTTGTTAATTTCCAACACATGTACGAACAAAGCTGATTGTATATCGATCGTTCGTAAATTAGGTATTCGTAGTAACCGATTGATGCCAGAGGCCATAACGAATGTATTAACCAATTGACACCATTGTGTTTCGATTTATCGAAAAGGTTAAAAAGTCAAATAACATAATGAAACATTAACCCTTTACCATGCAATGACGAGACTATACCGGTCATTAAATCTGATATATTAAAATTAACACGTTTTCGTATTCGCGAAATAAATCTGTTCCTTGTTTGCGAGCATTGGAAATTTAAACATAATCAAATAGTATGTACGATGCGCAGGAAAACGTGAGATATATATGTTTTAATAAATATTGACTCCCAACGTACGAGTATTTTCGCGATTCAGTGGATCTTCGATTCTCCTTGCTCTCTTTTTGTTTTCTTCCGGCATCGGTCTTTCCTCGTTTCTTATCCTTTCACTGTCCCACCTTTATTCTCTTATTCTTCGTATCGGTAAGTCTCGTTTTCTTTCGTCGATCCTTCGTTTTCTCCCCCTCCCCTCCCCTCCCGCCGGTCCGAGTTCCTTTCGGTCTCCCCCTCTCCCCGCGCCCAGTAACTCGCTTGCTCTCCGCGCGAATGCTTCACGTGACCAGAACGGTCTATTGATTCTTGGAGGCAGTGCATGCGCCCTCGTCCTCGTGATATCTGCTGCCAAGGGGGTATTATAGGTACGCGGGCACGGTGGAAGCTCTGTGTCGTGTTCCGTTCGCCAACGACAGAGACGGGCAAGAGGGGCTGTCGGGTACATAGTGACGAAGGGGTGAATCTGGGGGAGGGACGAGGACACGGAAGGGAGAGTCTACGGAGGATCGTGGCCGTAGAAACTTAGTATCGTTTCGTGTGGCCGATGGTGCATGATACGTTCCGATCGTTATGATTACCATAGTTTTCTTCAGGTACACATACACACATCTTCTGTAAATTGGTGCCTCGCGTTTTTGGAAGCTTTTCCTTTCGATCTATAGTCTCGTGCCTACACCGGAAATCTGTCCGTACGCTCGGTGGAAATGTCTGGTCGCGCAACCGAAAACCAGATGTGTACGAAGTTATTGCGTTCAATTTTTATAACAAAAAAAAAAAGTGCAGAGGAATCTAGTCGAGTGGATGTGCACTCGTCCCCCTAAAGATAGTGCAGTTTCAAATATTGCGAACTTTCCGTTACCGACGATATCGTGCGTCCGTCTTATTGCGGCCAAGTATTTCATTTTTTTGCCACGGGTGTACGAATGGCTACCTAGTTTGTTTACGTGATTTCGGTTTCCCGTTCTTTCGCCTGGTTCGCGTTCTCGCGTTCGCCTTACGTCGTATAACCGACACGCAGTACGCGACGGTGTTGCTTCTACGTGTTTTTTTGAACATAGGTGAATCCAGTATGCGTAGTTTATTAATTTTGCGCGAAATACGTCGCACGTTTGGCGACACGGGCTGGTTGGTCGATCGACATTATTTTCGTTCTGCTTTTACCAAAAGTAAACAATGCCGCGGTGTGTCGCGCTGCACGCCAGTCGTGTCACCATTGTGACGAAACCTCCTCACGGGAAAATTAGTTTCCCCGTTCACTGTACCTGTCCGTAGGATGAATTAAACGCACGTTTCGTTTCAGCCGTGTGAAATATTAATTGTTTGCCGGGGTATGGTCGGTGGAAACGACAGTGAAGTCACAAGTTAAGTGACATTCGAAGATAGGTGAATGAGAACAGTCGAACAGAAGGACTTCGAGGAGAAGAACGTTTGTTGCGTCAACCGACATCGATTACCGTACACCAGTAATCGAAACGAACCTTTCGTATGTCGATTCCATCGACTGTACTTTCGTCGCGACGTCGAATCAATCAACGAATTGTTTTTTATTGCATCGGGCCAGTGACCCTTCGTAACGTAAATATTTAACGTATTTTTTTTAATTATGATTTGGCGATACGAGTTATTTTCTACGAAAACGCTCTCGAGTAAACGATATTCTTATCGTAGTTTATTTCTGCTAGCGAATTGAAACTTCTTCGCCAACCAATTAATGTAGATTCACGTTCGCGTAGTTCTGCGCCGAGGAAAGTTCTGGAACGGAGGAAATATTCGCATTTGTCCCGCTCGGTAACAGCCACTGGTATTTCAATCGAATCGCGTTCGATCGAAAAAGGGATAATCTTTTGTTACCTAAAATTCTTTGCACCAGAGTTGATTAAAGAATATATGGAGAATTCAGAATTTATGAATATTCTTCGCGATGTCGAACGTTCAAGACGTTCCGGATCATTCAAAATTCACGAAGCTTAAGGTTAATTGTTGCTAACAGAACGCTACCACCGTTACAAAAAAAAGTTCATTTCGAATAAATTATTACAATAGAGAAACATTTATTCCTTGGTAACATATCGGTTTTTATTTTCATTTCACATCTGAATTTGGTTAACCAAAATTTCGATTCCTATTTTTTAAAATTGATAAACGATAACTCTGTCTGTTGGATGCGAGCACGTGTGAAATATTTCTCTGGGAAAAATTTTAATGGGAGATTCTAGAAGCCAAAATAAGACGAAAATCCAGAATACCAATTTCTTGACTGAGGCTTCATTAACAAAATTAAAAAATTTCAAGTCATTATGAAAAAATTATTTTCGTTTGCGGGGGTCGATTACAATCATTTTTGGTCATTACACATACCCCCAAAATTGTACCCACTTTCGAGAAAAAAATTCGAGAAGGTGTGAAATTTTTCGACAAAATTCAAAAATTACAAATCGTTCTGGAAAAATTATTTTCGGTTGCGGGGGTCGATTACAAGCATTTTTGGTGAATACACATACCCCTGAAATCCTACCCACTTTCGAGAAAAAAATTCGAGAAGGTATGAAATTTTTCGACAAAATTAAAAAATTTCAAATCGTTCTGGAAAAATTATTTTCGGTTGAGAGGGTCGATTACAATCATTTTTGGTCATTACACATACCTCTGAAATCCTACCCACTTTCGAGAAAAAAATTCGAGAAGGTGTGAAATTTTTCGACAAATATAAAAAATTTCAAATCGTTCTGGAAAAATTATTTTCGGTTGAGAGGGTCGATTATAATCATTTTTGGTTATTACACATGCCCCCAAAATCGTACCCACTTTCGAGAAAAAAATTCAAGAAGGTGTGAAAGTTTTAGACGAAAAAAAAATTTTAAATCATTTTGAAAAAATTATTTTCGGTTGCGGGGGTCGATTACAATCATTTTTGGTCATTACACATACCTCTGAAATCCTACCCACTTTCGAGAAAAAAATTCAAGAAGGTGTGAAATTTTTCGACAAAAATCAAAAATTACAAATCGTTTTGAAAAAATTATTTTCGATTGCGGGGGTCGATTACAATCATTTTTGGTCATTACACATATCTCTGAAATCCTACCCACTTTCGAGAAAAAAATTCGAGAAGGTGTAAAATTTTTCGACAAAACTAAAAAATTTCAAATCGTTTTGAAAAAATTATTTTCGGGCGCGGGGGTCAATTACAATAATTTTTGGTGAATAGACATACCTCCGAAATCCTGCGTATTCTTGAGAAAAAAATTCAGTTCTGGCGGAACTTTAAACGTTAATAACCTTTTAACGAAGCCTCCATCAATAGATTGGTATTCTTGATTTTCGTCCTATTTTGGCCTCTAAAATCTCCTATTAGAATTCTTCCCTGGTTGATCGAACACCCTTGTACAGAGCGTTTCTCTTGCACATCCGGTTATCTTCGTCATTTTTGCTGATACAAAACAACGTATCGGGACAAAATTTATAGATCGTTCGTGTGTGATTTCAGAAAGGAGACGCGGTAAAAGCTCGGGGAAGCACGTGGACCATGCCAGGGCAAGAAGCGAAGTGGTGACCTAAAACTCATCCCCGGCCCTGACCCTCGATGCTTACGCTACGGCTGGTGTCGACTCACTTCTTGAAGCAGCCATAGGCAGTGCCCTTCGCCTCAGAGAAAGGGCCCGCTATGCAATGTGCCGTGATAGGGATATGAACCCAAAACTAATCGAGTCAAACGTTCCCATTTTAACGTCGTATCGGTTGCCGGCGTCGGCTTAAAAGTTTAAAACTATTTGAGAGAGGTTCCGCGCGGACTACGTCGTCGACGAAGAAACACTTCTTCGCCGACGTATTCTCAAATCGAGAATTTCGTGCTCAAGCAACCCCGTCATCCTGGTCCACGTGAACCATTTACCTCCTCCCCCTCCCTCCCCCACAGACATCGTTCCTTACCCTACTACGTTCGTACAATCTCTGTCCGTTCTCTTCATCTATCGATCCCCCCCCCCAGCTCCCTGTGATCGAGACTTCGTAGCTCGATAAGTGATCGGTGACGTATGAAAGGAAGAGACGACTCATCGCGAGGACAGCCAACCCGAATCGACGATAACCAGCCAAGAGAAACTTGCGGAAGGTGTAGCGCGAGGATAAGCTGCCAGGCTGAACTCCGTTTATTTCAATCTGTGGAGGGTCGCGAGGGAGTGCATTGTGAGTTAATTCTTATTTCTAAAGCTTCGTTCTCATTGGTCGGTCGCCGGCCGCGACGGACAAGCGATGTTCGGTGGTTGACTGAAAATTTTCCACGCACGTTAGACCCTCGTTTAACGACGAGAAATCGGATACCGCCAGTCGACGATCGGCAGGTGTCGTAACCGAATTCTATTTCGAGTTAACGAAGGACTATACCCGGGGTGTCAATTTTACTTTAATCAAGAACGTTTTTACGCGTTCGCCCAACAGTCGGCAACCAAATTGAAACTGAGTCACGTTTTAAGAACCTGAAAACTTAAAAACAATTGTTCGATCGGTTGCTATGTGACATTGTCCGATCTGACCGTAGAGAACAGCAAGTATTTAGAACCCAAAAAATAACGTTCATAAATACCATATAATTCGATCTTTTAGGTTATGTGTAACAGTTATTCCGAATCGAAGTTCTTCGTAACAGTTTTCGACCAGAACATTTATACAGGGTGTTCGGCCACCTCTGGGACAAATTTTAATGGGAGATTTTACAGGCTAAAATAATATCAATTTCTTGCGTGAGGCTTTATTAAACAGTTATTAAAAAATTTCAAATCACTCGGAAAAAAATTATTTCTCGGTTGCGGGGGTCAATTACAATAATTTTTGGTGAATAGACCTATCCCCGAAATCCTACCCACTTTCGAGAAAAAAATTCGAGAAGGTGTGAAATTTTTCGACAAAATTCAAAAATTACAAATCGTTCTAGAAAAATTATTTTCGGTTGCAGGTGTCAATTACAATAATTTTTGGTTAATAGACCTACCCCCGAAATCCTACCCACTTTCGAGAAAAAAATTCGAGAAGGTGTGAAATTTTTCGACAAAATTCAAAAATTACTAATCGTTCTAGAAAAATTATTTTCGATTGCGGGGGTCAGTTACAATCATTTTTGGTGAATAGACCTACCCCCGAAATCCTACCCACTTTCGAGAAAAAAATTCGAGAAGGTGTGAAATTTTTCGACAAAACTAAAAAATTTCAAATCGTTCTGGAAAAATTATTTTCCGTTGCGGGGGTCAATTATAATAATTTTTGGTTAATAGACCTACCCCCGAAATCCTACCCATTTGCTAGAAAAAAATTCAGTATGGTCGGAACTTTAAACGTTAATAACTTTTTAACGAAGGCTCCATCAACAAATTAGCATTCTTGATTTTCGTCTTATTTTGGCTTCTAGAATCTTCCATTACAATTTTTTCCAGGGGTGTCCGAACACCCTGTATAACGGTTTGAAACAATTATTTTCTGAACTCTCGCAAGCCCCGACCATAATCCTTTGACACATAACGATTGTTCTGACGGTTTTCGGTAAACGGTCGCGATCAGACAATAGGGATCGTTGTGCTCGATGCACACGCTCGATGGTTTATTTACACGAGTTAGAGGACGCAGTCGTTGTCGCAGTCCTCTCGTATTATGAGAATACGACGCGTAGAAAGTTTATCGATCGCGAGCCACTCACGAAGAAACGTTATATAGCAGGTACCCTTTGTTCGAGGCGCGATCGTCGACCGTTAATAAACGTACACTGGGTAGTCGAAGAGATTGCCCCTGGATGGAATTCGCATTTGGCGAACATAATTTATGGAAAAGGTTATTTCGCTGAAATGCCTCGTTTCTTGCAATTAAACCTGTACCGTCAGATTTGACGCGAACGGGTAATTGTTTTCCTTGTTAACGCGAAATTAATTGACAAAGGACAGGGAGAAAATAATAATTGGGAAAGTATCGTTGTTCACTTTTGTATCGAATTGTTTGAATATCATCAATATATGTGTCGCATCAGTCCCGTCGCTATCAGTAATTGAAACGCCGTTGTTTCCAGTACGAGCCGACCGGGCGTGAAAGTAGAAGCTCGTTTGTCCGTTCTGTGGTCCGTTTAATGGGGGTAGAGAAAAACTCTGGTGTTTGTCGGTTTGATCAGTGCGGCAGCGGGTCGCGGTGTAGGCAAAGTGGGATGAGACGCCCTCAGCAAGATCATCATCATCAGCATCACCACAACAACCACCACCACAACCACCATCACCATCACCACCATGGATCTTCGACGAGCCCTACACGCTCTAGACAAGCACTCGACAAGGTAATACACTCTTTAAATCTAATTAATGTTTCTTTCCGCCATCGATATTGGTTTCGAACGAATGGTAACTCTTTACGTTCCCTGCGATCAGGCAATATTTTACATTACGCTGCTTGTTTTTACAGGATTAAAATTTGTACGAACCAAACATAATCATACATGAATTAAATTTTGTTTCATAAACGTAGAGGAAATTCTAAATAAGTACTGTCCTCCGCTGACTTACAAGTCCCGTGTGGCAGGAGCGCGAGAAAAGTAGAAGGGATACACCTATTCCCACGTACACATCGGACTCTGGTTCGCTATTCGCCGCGGCAGTTGCACGCGCATCTGAACTGGCTGAGAGCAAGGGAGCAAGATAGATAGATGGGGCGGTCCGGACTCCTCTCGCCCCTGTGCCGTCCCGCGGGACTTCCAAGTCAGCGGACCACACAGTATATCGTTCGCGAAATAAATAAACGTTGGTCACGCCGCGTTTCCGAGAAGAAGGAACCTTCGAGTTGTTGTGACGGTTCCGCTCTAGCTCGCACGAGCACCGACCGTTGGAGTCGCTGACGTCATCGTGTAGAAAAAAACATTTCTTTCTCCTTCGAAAGTATAACGACAGATACGTAAAGTTCGGCCTGCGTTCCTAACCTCTATTTTCGCATCGGTTCGATCGTATCGCTGAAATGAAATTAAACGTTTCAACGGTTCGCTCGATATTTTTTTTTTTACGGTAAACGGTTTCGTTGCTATTTTCGCAATTACAATTGGACGATGCTTGACCGAAGGACGAGTCCCGTTTGGCGAAAGTGAAACGCGTACTGGCAATATCGTTGCTGGGCCGTAACGGCGGATCCACGAGGATATTCGGCGCGCGGCTGGACCTGGTGGAGTCGTACCTAGACACGGGCGTACCGTTCGTGGTGCATCGACTGTGCAGTTACATCGAGGCCCATGGATTCCAAAGTGCCGCCGTGTTCCGTCTGTCCGGAGGTAGCCCGAGATTGGCCGAGAGGCTGAGGGCAGCCTTCGAGAGAAGAGGCGATGCCGATTTGGAAGCGGCTGCGTGTCCACCGACCGCGGCTACGCTTCTACGCCAATATCTCAAGGAACTGCCGCAACCTGTCGTCCCGTCGACGCTCGTTGCCAGGCTGCTGACCATTCATGCTCGTAAGCGTTTTCTATTAATCCTGCACGATCCATCGTTCGCTGTAAAACGATACGCGAAATTTACGAGAGCACCTTGCAGAGAATTATGGGGACGATCGCGATCGTTGGATCGGTTTGACGAAAGAGCTTCTGTCCAGCCTACCGTCCTCTCACTATCGCTTGCTCGGCTACCTGGCGATCTACCTGAGCAAGTACGAAGCCAGGCATGGACGAGGCGCCGGCGTATGCGGCGTGTTCGCACCCGTGATCCTACCTCACGTTCCACCTGCCACCACGCTCCTGAGGGACATCCTTGCTGAGGCTTCCGAACTCTTTCCCGACTGGTAAGTTATAAATTGTTCTATACCAGCGTAAATAACGCTCGTCCAAAAACGTTGAATAAATTTATTTAAAGATAATTAGATATTCTACAGGAGAAGACGATCTTACCACGGTGGTGCCTTGGTTATTGACCGACGCTCCAGGTCGAAGGTAGTTAGCTCTTCCAGTGTATCTTGTGATAGATTTAAACACGTAAACACAGGTGGCCGTACAAATAAGCGCCCGGAATGCCAGTTCCATGAACAACCGGGGGGAACCGGCAAATTTCCAAGGCATCGCTGTGTGTTTTATAGCCCGCGTCTTTTCATTCTTCTCTTCCTGTCGGTTGACACTTTTGGTACTATACGGTGATAACTTGATGGCTAGGCATGCCGATTGGCCGTAGCTTAATAGCAACGCCTGCTCTCACACGCATTGTCGTTATTGGCTGAGTCGTACAGGGACAGAGTAGGATAGGAGAAGACTGAGAGGCATTGGCGTAACCGTACGCTAAAAATACTAGCCATGAATGGAACAAAAGTGTATATCTCGTGGTTATGGAGACCCTGCTACTATGTAGCGTGACGTCAGAGCGGGCCTCTATGGAGGGAATAAGGCAGCGCGTAGACTTTCTCTCCTTACCCTTGCACCGTTTAGTTTGTGGGTGCCTAGCCAACAAGTCATCTCTGTATACGTGTCTTTTTACGATTCTTAATATCTCTATTAAAGCATATACGATAAACATGTTGGAATCCGGGTGGTCAAGTAATGCTCCTTTTGTATCATAAGAGTTTATTCATTTACGTTGAACTCGTGCCGAACTCAACTATGAAGAATAACGGAATTTGCAATGGAAATTCATTCTTGGACAAGGCGGTAACACCCGCAGACTTCTTGTTCAACTCTTAAGGCCCTGGGCCCCGCGGTCCGGAGGTATACAGGATGTTCGGCCAACCCTGGGAAAAATTTTAATGGGAGATTTTAAAGGCTAAAATAAGACAAAAATCAAGAATATCAATTTCTTGCGTGAGGCTTCATTAAACAGTTATTAAAAAATTTCAAATCACTCGGAAAAAATTATTTTTTTTCTCGAAACTCGATAGGATTTTAAGTGTATGTCTAATGACCAAAAATGATTGTAATTGACCCCCGCGACCGAAAATAATTTTTCCAGAACGATTTGAAATTTTTTAGTTTTGTCGAAAAATTTCACACCTCGAATTTTTTTCTCGAAAATGACCAGGATTTCGGGGGTCTGTCTATTCACCAAAAATGATTGTAATTGACCCCCGCGATCGAAAACAATTTTTCCAGAACGATTTGAAATTTTTTTTTCTCGTTGAAAAAAGGCACCTAATTATATTTTCGGTAAGGAATTTTTTTCTCGAAAGTGTGTAGGAATTCGGGGGTATGTATAATGACCAAAAATGATTGTAATTGACCTCCGCAACCGATAATAATTTTTCCAGAACGATTTGAAATTTTTGAATTTCATTGTTAATAACTTTTTAACGAAGCCTCGTCAAGAAATTAATATTCTTGATTTTCGTCTTATTTTGGCCTCTAGATTCGCTCGTTAGAATTTTTCTCAGGGGTGGCCGAACACCCTGTATATGTCTTAGCAATAGTAGTGGAGGAGGACCCTTAGATTTAGTGACTAAGGAGCCTTGTGACTAACAGACGATGACGTATCGATGTTTGGCCTATTGGTCATCCGACAAACATATTCGTTCCAATTGTTAGTGAATGCAATAACAATAAAGTTAATCTTACGGTATAGTTGACGCTTTTAACAAAACTGTACATCGCAATCCCGTTTGTCCCTAAATAGCTAATATCTATTCCAGCGTGGTGCAATAAAATGATTTGTTAGGAAAAAAAAAAAAGGAAGGATAAACGAGTTCACGATTCGTGCGGACCCCGTGTTGGAAAACACACGTTGCGAGGCAATTACGAAACTGGCCATTATCGCATAGTTAGCACTTCGCCGGAGCTAAATCGATCGGTCCACAACCTACGCACGTTGTAAGCACGTGCCGAAGGCGCTGGCGTCGGATTCACTCGCGTGCATCGTTTCGACGCGAGTCGAATTCGGTCCCTCGGTACGAGCAGGTACGATTTTCTCCGCGACGAGTGCATCGAGACACGCGAAGCACTTCGTACAAACGAACAATAATTATGTCACTAAATTTATAAAATCGTCGAAGAACTTAATAATTTTTACTATCTTTTAGGAATTTGATAAAGAAACGGATATCGACGTCGATGGTTGTTTCACAAAATAAAGTTTCTTCGTTACCCCCCATACGTTTCTGGATTGTTCTCAATGTCAGATACAGGTCATGCTATCATAGATTAATGAACAGGTCTTGACATTTACTATTACACCACGATGATAAATATGATAATTTTAGGGATTAATAGTCCAAACGTGATACAAGAGGTCTTGCAGTATGTTTCTCCATAATAAAAATTTTTCTTATTACGATATCTTTCTTACAGGTCCGTCCATCGGTAAACACACTCTGCGTTATAATTATTTAATTTAACGAGGACGAGGGGATATCGTTTCTATGAAAAAAGATTTCAGGGCCCCCGAGGTTAATCGACCGTTAGGTGAAATTTCAGCACAGCGAAACTTTCACCGATCGGCACGTCGCGTGCATCGAATTCTTTTCTAATCGGTTCGTGCGTCAGCGGGAATTTACATCCGTAGAATCATTCGTCGACCTTCTGCGATCGATGCCAATAATCGAGTCGCGCGGCGTTCGTCATCCTGTTGAAAATACGCGTCATGGACCTGATGTAACCTTGTTTAAATTATTCAACGTCGACGGACGTTCTTGACGCCTCCATATTTATTTCCCTTTGATGTTCGTGGTGCCCGCTTCTCGCATAACAACGTCGCGAATTCATTTTTCTCGCGATTCGCCATATCGAATAACCAAAATACGTACAGGAGCAAAAGAAATACGCATATTGATTATAAATAGACCGCGGATGTTTATGCATTTATGGGAAATTTTAATTTTCAAAAAAGATACGAAGCAAGATACGAATTAATATATTTAGGGATTTAAACAACCCTCTACAAAGCTCTCATTACGTTAATTCTATTAATCAAAATATGAATTTCCATAACAATCCGTAGTCTAAGTATAAAGTATTATTTTAAACGGGAGTGGCTCGAAAGAAATTATCTAGCCTCTAGAAAAATGTCTATCGAGCCCCGCAGACGATACAACGTATATCGTCTTCGATTTCAAGCAATTCGACCTACGACACCTCTGACACACAATACCCCGCATAGGTACATATAACGATTAAAACCAGATGCCTATCTCGGTGTCGATTGCACCCGTCGTGACAAAGAAACAATTAGTATTTATAACGCTTCGAATGCGTTGGAAGATTTTTTTTTTCTTCTATGCGTTCGACGTACTTTGGTTCGATGTAATTAAATATGAAAAAGAAGCTGCGTATCAACGAAGCTTAAATAACTGTGAAAATTGCTGTAAGTTGGTCTTATTGCTCATCAATCGTTCGATTGGAACTTTGTCCATCTCTGTTCAACGACGGGTCAATCTGGTGTAAGGATTAGGTTCACAGTCGATCAGATCGATATTATACGCGACGAGCAATAATTGATCGGTGTTAATATCGTTTCATCGATCTTTTTTTATAACGGTTTTCCGGTCGAAAACTGAGGATCGGTCAGTTTTGCTCGTCCGTGCCAACAAATTTTCCATTGTGATCCGTCGCGGTGGTTGGGTTCCGAGAATACCGGTTTCCTTAGATCAGACACGTGGCGCAATAAAGGCGATGCGCTATTAAAGTTACATCAGATTTGCCAACGAACGATTACAGCAGAAGTTTCGGCGGGATCGGGTTTTTCTTTTTTTTTTTTTTGTGGCAAAAATTTTATTTCGATACTTTGGAATTGCGCAACAGTCTATTCCCGGCGCTGGTCGCCATAATATCGGCGTTATTTTTATAACAAATTGTTTCAACCAGTAACCACGCAAAATTTATTTTTATTCCACGCTTCACGCCTTAATAAATAATTGCACCTGTTATTTTACAACATACCTAATTAAACGGTATTGCAACGCCGGTCACCGGTGACCACCACGGCATTCAACGTGTTAACAGAATAAAAACATATTCTTCAACTAATATTTAATTGTACGTAGCATATCGATGTTAAGTACAAATAAATCGTAATCGTAAATTAAATACGTTCGGTCTTGACGTAGGTCACTGATATAATTGCTGGCAGAAATAGCGTAAGCTCGTTAGCTTAAGGTATCAGAGATGCTTGTTCTTTTAAGATGGAAGAGATTGTGCGTCAGATGAAGCGACCTTGACATAGGCGAAATATTTTGTCCATATATCACGTGTGATGTGGCGAGGTAACCCTACCCACATATTCTGGTTGAATTTATCTTAACTTCGCCGGCAAGCTGCGTAGTTTCTCGGTTTAGCTCGAGGGGATAAACCCGAAAATATCACGACACGTGATCACGTAATTCGCAGTTCGATCGGAAACGTATTTCCTCGTGTTATTCCTAAATCTTTACCCGTTGACGAATCGAAATTTCTCGCCAATATAATTTTATTCCGAGCTTTTGAAATCGCAAAATTTATCCGGCTATGGTTTTCTCGTAAAAGATTGTTTACTCGTAACAAGATTTGTTTGTATTTTGAAACCGAAAATGTATCGTCGGGAATCGTCAAAATCTTCCGAGACTCGAGTTCTATTTTAAAGTACTTTTTTTTTGTGCATAAATTGATGCATTGTTGCATCCTCGTTAAAAAAATATCAGGATCCTCAGGTCGGAAGTGGATCAGTTTGTAGGTTACGTGTTCTGTAACGTCGATAAAGCAGTCGATGAATCGTTCGTCGGTAAAGAGAGAATACGAGCCAAAAATTGAGCCACCTTCGTCAGCGAACTGTTAGGCGACTCGCATTTTTTCTGCGACAACGTCCATACACGGTTTCTTCCGCCGTATTCTCGCAAAC